AAGAAAGGAAACTCACAAAGAAGACCCCGAACGTGGGCCATTTTGGGCCTTTCGGATCTGGGTCGATGGGATGTTTGGGCCTCCCGGCGCGCAAGCCGCACAGAGGCTGGCCTGGAACCGGCACCTTGGGAGAGACTCTGGGCCTGGGCCGCCCTGTGCGGCTTTGGATTGGCTCTGGTCGACCCGTTACTGCCCCGGCGAAAGGTGAAACACCTATGGGCCCAGTGGGAAAATCCGATGTTTCCTTAAAAGTTCAAGTCTAAAGATCCAACCCAATAGCAATCAACTGGGGGTGCGACAGGTTTGGAGCCTCTCCCAATCAAAGCCCAAGCATCTGGATTGGGCCTGTCGCATTGCTTTTTTTGGGGGGAAGCCTCCAACACGGCAGCTTTCCCGTGTCCCGAGCCGACCACAAAATGTTGACCCCAAATGAATTGCAACCAACCAGTTTATTAAAAGGGTATTCCTGGATTTACCGGGGAATCAGACCACTTTCGGAGACGAACGCCAGCGGTTCATTAATATGGGGTCAACTTTACAAGAACCAGGGCCTAAATCTGCGAACCAACCCAACTAGATAGAAATACTTAGAAAGTCGGGCTACCCAACCTTCTTGCAAATCAGACCGCTGAGAAGCATTGAAGCATTGCCTCACGCTCCTTTTTGCGCTGCAACGCCTTTCACTGAGCTTACGAGCTTCTATTCGGATCAAGCCGGCAGTACTTGGTGCGCACAGGGGATGCCAATGTCAAGTAAATCTACGCTAAATCGTGCCTGGCCTGTCCTATGCGGTGAGACCGTCCGCGTTCCTGCCCATCCCAAAGCCTAGTTTCTGGAGCCCGGGCGGCCCCGGTAGCCACTGCCATAGTTGCCGCCGTAGCCGCCACCAACGCCACCACCGCGGGGTGGAGCAGGCTGGGCACGCTGAGACTTGTAGGGCGGATAGGCTCCCCGGTCCCTGTCCTCACCAGTCCGGTGGCGACTCCAAAAATGCACACTTTTTGGAAAGTTACATAGCTGAAACCCTGAAGAAAAAGAAGATGCACTACTGGGCAGCTGGGTATCTGATCCCCGCTCTCGCACATCGCCCCGAGCTTCGCGTGCCTCGCGAGTGTCGGGGCGGCTGCGTGAGGCCCGGCGGTCGCGGTGGTCGTCCCGGCCCTCGTAGGGTCGCTTGAATCCCCGGGGCACCGGCGGCGCCGGCGGGGGCCGCGCATCCACGGGCCCACGGGACCCCGAAGGTGCGCCCCGCGGGCCCCGGGCGTCCCGGGCGTCCCGGTCCCGGTCCGAGCGCGCGTCCCGGCGCTCGTTCCGCGCGTCGCCCCGCGGGGCGGGGGGGCCGGACCATCGGTCGCGCGGCAGGCCGCGGGACGTGGAAGTGTGACTGCCATGAGCTGGGCGGCGGTCGAAGCCTTGGTTGACACTGCGTGATGTCCAACCCTCATGTGGTTGGTGCATCATGGCCTTCAACGAACCCTGTTCAAAAGGGCTTAACTCACATGGACAGTTCCGCAGTTTCAACAGTTTCTCTTTCGCAGTGCTGCGGGCAGCCTTAAAAGACGAAAACCAACAAACCCAAACACCGTCATAATTGAACACCACCCAGCCAAAGACAACTCGCAAAGAACATTGGCCTTACCACAAAAAATGTTTAAGGCGTTTTGTTGAGTGGCAATCTCTGATTTTTTTGAGTCCACTCAACAATTAGGAAACACATATTTCCAATAGTGACAGATTGCCCTCAAAACCAGAATTCAAACACAAACCACATCCAGCTCGGCAAATGCACCAAACCACAACATCCCGACGCCCTGCCTTTTTTTGGCGCACTCCCCCCCCCGGGCTCCAATCCCCCAAGAAGAAGGCTGTTGCAACGATTCCAAGCGTCCACCATACAGACTCTCTCCCTCCCCTTCCCCCCTTCATCCCCTCCCCCTTTCCCCTCCCATCTCCCCTCTCCCATTTGGAGTGTCCCATGGTGACGCCAGGATCTTTGCAGCCCTCCCCCCTGGAACCGCCGAAGGGCCGCCCTTGCCGCCCTTGCGGTCGCCGCGCTCCTCGAAGCGGGGCGCCGGCCTCACCAATTTCAGCTGCCCGTCCTCCCCGGCGTCCAGGCGCCGCAGCCGCAGCCGCCGCGCGTCCTCCGTGAGCCGCAAGAAGTTCTCCAAGGGCGTGTCCTCCAAGCGGCCCGGCCGCGGGGGGGGGGGGGTGTCTCAACGGCCCGGGAGGAAAAAACAACGGGAAAAAGGGGAGAAAACCGGCTGGATGCTTGCAGAAATCCATTTTTGGTTGGTCCCCAAATGCGGGGATTTTGCGGGAAGGCGATGAAAACCGATCTGTCTTGAATAGTCGGGACCAAGAATCATGTAAAGAAATCAAAAGGCGGCGCCCATTTGTAGTTGGGACTGTCCCAGAACCTCATCTTACCGGATTTTTGATTGTGCCCCTCAAAAGGGCCTGGAAATACCAGATTAACCTTTTGGGACCTTGACTAAAACTGAACCCGAAATGGACAACCAAACAAGTCCAAACTGTTCATTGGCCAAACAAAAGTCCAAAGTGCCCGTTGAAAACTCAAATGGTCCAAACCCAACAAGGATCAAGTCTTTAGACTTCAACTTGTTGGATTCCCCTCATATGTCCTTTCAACCCCCCAAAAATAAAATAAACTGTTTGCTAGGGATCTACATCGCCCAAGATTCGAACTGTTTAAAGCGTTTAGTTGGAACTCCGATTGGAAGACTGCTCAAGGAGTGAAACGAAGCTGGGCGTAGACAGAGCCAGAATGGCAACCGCCAGAATGGGGGAACTCACAAGTCATGAGGCAAAACCACGTGAATGACACCTTGTCGGAACTAGTTGGATTTGGCGGAGTCCGGTCGTTTTCCCCTGCCAGCTGCTTGGCATGAATTTAACTCCACCGAAATCGCATCGCCCAAAGCAGGCTCTCTTTTGCAAGGCGCTGCAAAGTCAATACGTTTCCCACCCCAGATGTTTCACGTTGGACCTGTTGTGTGCTCATGGACGTCAAACTCCCCGGGTTTTTGGCATTTTCAAAAACGGCTGGGTTTCTTGAAAAGAAGGATCCCTGGAATGAACAGGGAACCTGATGAGGGAAACAGAAACCTAACCTTTTTTTGTGGGTCCCCCCCAAAGAATGTGGGGGTCCCCCCCCCCAACAAAAAAAAAAAACACACACACACACAACAAACTAGACACCCAAATAATGGGGTTCTCAATCATTTCAGTCCCCCTTCATTTGATGCACGGCATATTTTTCAGCACCGCCAATGCAGGACCAAGCGTTCAAACATCTTAGGAGAACCAACGGCCCCCAACTCCGCCAGGAAAAAGCTGACAGAATCTTGTGATCAAAGGTGTCCCGATCCAACGATGTGGATCGAAGGTTGAAAAGGGGAAGGGATGCGGGACCAAGTTTGTCTCCCGTTACGTGTTCAAACCCATCTCCGAGAAAACAAAAACACGCAACATCAAAATGTAGATCCCCTTTTGCTCCGTGGCCCCTTAGAGGCCCAAAAAAATCAAAAGTTAACCAGGATCTTGACTAGACATGGACCCAAACTGGCAAACCAAAAGCTCAGATCGGGCTCGGGTTATGGAGCAACACCCGGCCTCCCCTTTTTGGCCGCCTTCAATTCTCCGACCAGTGGCCAAGGCAAAAAGTCGCCGTCTGATTGCTGGCGAATTTCTACGGGGACGGCCTTGTTCACTTTGGGAAAAGGGGTGGAACCCTGGCTGGGAATTTGAGTCCTCCGAGAGCTGTGGGTCTAGGACGCTGTTCTTCAGCACTTCCATGGTGTCCTTCACCATCCTCAGCCGAGTTTCGGTGGATGCCCCTAGATGGGCAAGTCCTGCACCGGTTCGGATGGATGAAACTTTGCAAATGGGTGAACCGCAAGTGAACCGCCCGTTCTCAATCACAAAACCACGGCAGGTTGTGGTGAACTAGGGGGGAAACCCTGGTTTCTTGCAATATGTGCGCGTCCACCGCTCTGTCCTCCCCCCCCCACCCGCCCAGAAGGGCCCAGGGAGCCAGACAAGGGTGCCGAGTCTAAAAATCCCACGGGTCTGTTGGACAAATCGATTTTGCTGGCACACAAGGAGCCAGACGAATAGCATTGGGACCCACTTGCTTTCCAGCCAAGTGATGTCGGAAGACAATGGGTACAAATAGGTGGCACCGTTCAAGTGGTGGTGTTCCTTTTCGTGCCCCTTTCAACCACCAAGTGAGTATATACCCTAAACAAATTTTCCACACGGACTCGTTCTTGGCGAGCAGCTGCAACAACTCCAGGACCGAGTCCACGCCATACTGCTTCAGGCTCAACGCCCGCTTATAGAAAGCCTCGTAGTAGAACTGCGTGTGGCTCTCGTGGAAGGAGACCTCATGTCGGGTTCGCCCTAGGCAGTGTGGGGTTGGGATCGGGGCGGGGGGTGAACTGGAGGAACTGTAAAGGCTGCCTGCAATGGCAAGAGGCAAGCTGTGTGTTTGCTATGATGTGCCTTAACACCCAATTCGGTCGTGATGAACAGGGCAACACGAATATGCTTTGCTCTGGGCCAAAGCAACATGGCTCGAAGTCGTGTTGTAACCAGCAAGCTTTAAAGCTAACCTTTCACGCGGACCCTGCGACTGCTAGGTGGACTTTGAGGCGCATTGAAATACAAAAGTATCACTTTCAAACCTACGCGCCCAATGTCGTATCAGGGCCTCAGGTGACAAAACGTGCTGGGAAACTGTGTAGGACAGCTTCTGGGTTCCATGTTCTTCTTCGCGAGTGGCCCGTCTCCCCGGTTTTCCGGTGCGAGTTTCATGGTGCAACCGCACTTTCCGGATCAAGTGCTTAGGTTTTCGGGTGCAGAGAAGGCCGTGCTGTGTTTCCAGATCCCCCCACCCCGTGCCCCCCAAAAGCCCAGGACCAGGCCCCTCCGCGTGGATCTGACATTTGCCCGGGTCTTGTGGTTGGCCGTCCTAGTCTTGGTTACTGCTGACCCGGCTGCAAAACGTCAAAAACCTTCTATGGGCCCCGTGGAAAATCCAATGTTTCCTAGAATGTTCAAGTCTAAAGATCCAACCCAATAGCAATCAAGTAGTACGGCTACAACTTGACAGAATCGCAAAATTATCTTTGAGTCTTGGTAGGGGTCCCCTGCAAACTACTCGGTTCCATATCGGATTTGCAATATGACTTTGGGAGCCTCTGTTGCAACCACCAACTAGCTCGGGTCATTTGACGGTGTTTTGCTCACGTGGACCCAGATGGAATCGGATGGCCCCGCCGCGCATGAGGTGGCAACTTGGTGATTAAAGCCGACATCGTCAAGGGGACGGCGAGCTGACGCAGACCGCGCGCAGCGCCTTTCTCGCGTCGCACGAGAAACAGAACAAATCCAGTGAAAACAAGTCGCAGCTCTTCAGCTGTCCATCCCCTGCACTCGAATGCGAAACGAGAGGCGCGCTGGGGATCCTTCATGCAGTGCTTGTAGCCATGGACCAGCAAATGCAGCTGGACCCTGGCGAGCGATCCAGCTGCAAAACATGGGTCCGTCCCCCCACTCAGCCCCCCGTTTTACCCGAGGAGCGCGATGACTGCATCTTTGAGCACCGGAATTCTCCCCACAGCCAACTCCAGAAACGTTGGGTTGAGCCACCTCCGATGATTTCCTTTTACTCAGAAAGGGAACATGTATGCGAGGGGCCCCTTTATTGAGGGTACACACCCTCCATACATATAGGGGGTAAATCTCTGTCCAATGATCATGATGCGCGGTGCATTCGAAGACACCCGTGCTTGAAACACCTTGAAATCCAGCCCAAAGCCTGGAAAACGCATCAGTCCACATCCGCAAAAAGGCATTCAATCGCATCCGTCCAAATCATCCAACAGCATCAGTTTCAGTCCGAATCATCCAAAAGCATCTGTCCACAGCTTCTAAAAGCTAACAGCATCAGCATCTCATATTTTTTGCAGTTCCCGGCCTCAGTTCCAAAAGCATCCAATCCTCCCAGGAGAACTTGGAGAACAAGGGCTCCCCCGTGCCGATGTCCATCGGGTCCTCCAGCTTCCAAACATCCGCCTGCGCGGCCGAGAGAGCTCGCCTTTGGATTTGGGTACCCCGAGTTGGGTTGTTCAATGGGAAGCCCAAAGGAAACCAAAGCCATATCCCAGACTTTGGTGTCCCCTATTTTGACCAGGTCCTTCAGTGGAGAGCTTAGAATAGGGGTACCCTTTTGTCTGTAGCCTATTTTAGTAGGGGAACCTATTCCAAAAAAGGGGTCAAAGGGCACTGCTGGGCGACCTTGTTAACATGGACCAGCCAGCTTCCCCCAAAAAAGGGTGCTGTTGATTGGTGGGGGCTAAAGGGGGTGGTTTCCCAACTGCCATGTGCCAAGAACCAGGGGTTCGAATCCAAATCCAAACCACCAACTAGGGGTTACCTGACACACCAAACTAGACCATTCGACAAACAAAATGGTTGAGTGAGCCGTTGTTTGGGCTCCATGTTGAATTTGCAGTGCAGCTTCAACGTTCTAGTTGAGGTGGTTCTAGAACCATGGCCAAAACCATCCAACACCTTCACATTGAACTTGGACCGTGAATGGGTCGGCAAGTAAAAACAGGCAAGCTCCAAGGGCATGTTCAGATGGGCTGCTTGGAGGTTCTGAGGGTATGTAAAACTCATAAATGGGGAAATGAAATGGGGCAGTATGACTTCTTGTATAAGTGTTTTCCACCTCCACATCTCCAAACAACCCACCTGAAAATGCCGGAGACCAATTGAGGTTTTGCATGCTGGTTCCCCTGCTTACCTGTGGCAACTGAAAGCACTAGGTGGTCCATGCATTCTGCAATGTCCACAGCGGGGCCTCGAGCCCCCGCTTCAACATTCAACTCCACAAGGAATCTCACAGATCCAACATTTACTCCCAAAACTAAGGCCCAAACCCATCCTAAGAGGCTACCTGCCCCCCTGTGTCCCGCGGAGGTGTCCTTACAGAAAGTCCATGTCCTTTGGGGTGGCGCATGCACGACTCACCAGATGAAGAATTAAATTCCTAGGAACCTGCTGAAAGGTCTCCCTCCAAGTTGAGAAGGGTAACCTCTGAAGGTGCAGCCAAATGCTAAAGGGAGACAGGGCAGCCTCTTGATTGGCCTGCGCCAACAGGCTACGTCCCCAAGCGGCCTCGTCGCAATTCTGCGGTGAATCCTTCGGCTCGTCTGCCTCATCCTGCGAGCCAAGATGGTTTCCAATGCCGAGGCCACTAAACCACTATCCCCAAAGAAAAATGGGATGGGACGGGCTGCATGAACTCACAGCGCCACTAGATCAAGAGTACATGATGGATATCAAGAGTACATGAGGGATATCACGTGTTGTTTTGCCTTGTGTCGTAGAACCACCTGGCAACTTCCAGCACCCCCAACTGCCTTTTGCTTACCGTACTTTAATGTTTGGCCATGGTAGCCAAAGCAGGCGGGGCAGGGGGCGGTGCTGGTTGCAGCGTGTTTCTCTAGGCGGCTTCAGCCTGCGAGCCAAAGGCGTGATGCGTGACCATCGGAACGGCATTCCGTCCTGCTTCAGGCGCCCCACCGGCAGTACCTCCCGAGCCTTGCGCTTCTCGACGGCCTGGGGTTGGTTACTGCAACGACCCCTCTGCAAAAACACGTTTCATGGGTTCAATGGACAACCACTTTGTTCCATTACCAATCTTAAAAATGCCCATGATCAACAAACATGTTCACTTCACCGGCTAGACCCGACATTCCACCTGAGTTCATTGACCGAATCAAAGCGCTGCACCGAAACCCCTTGTTCCAACTCCTTCACCGTGACAACGCCGGCGCACGGAGAACCAGCGAGTGGGTTCAATGGAAAAGCCATGCCTAAAGATCCAACCCAATAGCAGTCAGTCTTCAAGCGGCCACCCAAAAGGCGGCCTTGTTTTTAGTTTCCCTTTCAAACCAGAAAGCAAAGGGAACCTTCAAACAATCCCCTACTAAAAACACCTTAGGAAACCAGAAGGAGATTGAAATGCTAGCTCTTTGCAACCGCGGTTGAAACAATGGTCCTAATCCTGTGCGTGTCCACCAACTTGTCTTTTGGTTTCAAGTGGTGGCTCAACTGGCCTCATCCTGGAGCCGTTGGCGAGTGGCCGGGTCCCGCCAGTCCTATGGGAAAACACCAAGTGGCTGTGGCTCAAAAAACCGCTCCCAAATGGGTTGTCCTGGTAAGAAACATGGACCAAAACCTGCGGTTTGCCCCTCCTGCTTAATTTTGAGCCACACTCAAGTGACAAATAACCATCCCATGAAGTATGGCTCACTCGCCCAAAGGACCTGGAAATCAAAGGTCAACCGTCTGGGGCCTCTAAAAATCGATCAAAAAGCAGAAGCCAAAAGGTCGAAAGGTCGGTTCGCTTTGGCCAACTGGGATAAAGTATGGGCGGCCTCCAGCAAGCCGAAAGCTCAAATTCAGACGGGCAGGAATGGAAAAACACCCTCTAGTGGAAAGGGATATATTGGAATCGCAAGTGAGCCCAATGGAACCATCTCTTTTTGGGATTGAACCCCTTTTTTCCCACCTCCAGTGGAGAAAAGAATTGGAACCAGCTCTTTTTTGCCGCTTGATGGAAGGAAAATACTTCAACAAGCCCATCCCTACTGTCAGGGCGTAGAATGCCTTAAGGCAATACAGGGCAAGGCCTTCTTAGCCAAACACCAGCTACATGAGGCATGTCAAAGAGCATCACGATGGGCCCCATGCTCGCTCATCACGTGAGATTGCGCTAGTTAGGCAACAAAGTCACAATGGACCAGAGACATGCAAGGAGAGGGGTGCACATGGTTCCATCTGCATCTCCTTCGCCTGACATTTCTTGTTAGCTGCCCGCTGCGGCTAACAAGAAATGTCAGGCGAAGGAGATTAACATGAGGACCAATGAATGCACACGACCCAATCATACCAAGAGCATTCAATCCCCCCCCAAGTAGAAGCATGCACAAGGAGGTGGAAAGCAGGGTTGGGCAACACCTTTGCCTTGTTCAAGCTCAAACCAGTGTCGTTGAAACAAAACCATGTTGTTTCCATTTGGACGGCTTTCCTTGTTGGATTGTGCCAATGCTAACCCGAGTTCTCATTTGAAGAAAGCAACCACCTTTTCAAGTCCACCTGGGGCGCAACAAATGGGCCCCTGCAATTGGTCACGGTCTCTCTCGGTCAAAGCAAGAACACACCTGCTGGCTGCTCCGAAAGGTTTCCACACACAGGTGGTGCCGCGCTTTTGTTCCCTGGGAACCGACTGATTCACTGAAGGATACTGAAGGGACCAAGTCTGCGAGACCAAAGACGGGACGGGACGAACTCTCCTCCTGCCGGCGCTTCCAGCGTGCTAGGTGCTCTTGCCAGGCCTGCCATTTCCAATGAACTTTGGGGGGGGGGGGATTCATCAAAAAGGCCCCTTCAAGAAAGGAGCCCCCACTAAGTTACTGGGGGGGGGTCCACTTGCCCAAAGGACCCCGAAAGACGAGGTTCACCTTTTGGGGCCTTGAGTAAAATATGCGAAAAGGGTCAAAAGGCCAGCTTTGGACAGGTGAGTTGATGTCGAGCCCTGACACCCGCCCCCTCTAAATAACTGAGAGGCTTACCAACCAGGGTGGACATTAAGCTCATTTCAGGAATTCCCACCCACGCGTCGCTAACATGTGTTTATTTTTGCTCCCTTCCAGAGATTGCTTCCCTACCGAGCAACGAAACATGTATGGATTTGGGAGGCCGCCACGGGGTATGTCCCAACAAAATCCATAGACACCAGCTACAGGTAATTTCTACAGACAACAAATGCCAACCACGCACAAAAAAATGAAAAAAGAAGAACACGGATGCCCTCCAGAATTTCCAGCGGCTGGTTTGTTAAACAGTGCGCTTTGCAAGTAAAATAGGGACCTCCAACTTCAGGTGGGAGCAGGCACCTGTCGATAGTGACTAAGGGGTGCCTCCCAAAGTTTTTAAAACTTGCTGGTTGTCAGCAGGGAGTGAGGGAATGACCCCCCAAAAACCATCCCCTACGGTTTTGCTTAAGGGAATCTCAAGGTTGAACCTTGGGTCATTCCCTACTTATCGCACCAGCAAGGAAATGGGGCAGCTCAGCTTTGATCTCAAGGCATATGGGTGCGTGTTTCCTTTCTTGGCAAAGGAAGCTTAAGGGAAACCACCCATTTTGGGGTTCCCCTACTTGAAAACGCACCCGTAGCTCGGCAAAACCTGAGCTAACACGTCAGACTCCGAGCCCCGCCTCCTGGCAATCTCTGAACCAGTTGTCCGGTTTCAAGTCCTCATGTGGATGGACAAAACCCGCAGCACCGGACATGTGTTCCCCAAGACTGGGGAAAAGAATCCATTGGTCGGGGGCTGTTGCGGAGTTTGTCCGTCAGTATGGCGGGTAACTGGATGAAGCAATTTGCTCCAAAGCAGTACCCGAGGGAAACCAAGATGTGCTCAAAGCCACAGAAATTCGAGAAAGAGCTGGAGCCCTCCAAAAACAACCCAAGGGTGGTGGACTTTACCACACCAAGCAAGCACCGAGTTTTGGTCCCACCGCCTTTTCGGCACGGAGAAAAACGGGTCAAACGCAAGTGTCACGTTAGTCACAATCAAACCCCGGTACAAACATGGTTGACCCAGAACAATGTAAAGAATTAAGAAGGCGGCCGCAGCTATTTATGGTTGGGATTGTCCCTTACCAACCTTCATCAGGGATCCTTACATTATACACCTGAACATTCCCTTGTAAATGGTGGCTTCCTCTTATTTTGGTGGAAAATGCCATGTTGCAAATGGTTGCAAAATGTATCTTTTAAGGAGCCCTGTTCATCTACCCGAGTTTTGAGCAAGTGGATCACGTGCAGACTGTCGCGCGCAGTCCTGGACGCGCTGCGTGAGCTTCCGCTCGAGGACCCAGCGCCGCAGAGTCTCCTCGCACTGATGACCTGGCGCCCACTCGAAGCGCACCTCCTCAAAGCCCTCCTGCGCGGGTTTTCGTACGAAACGACTCGCCGCTTCTTTTGTTTGGCCACCAGGGCTCGGAGAGGTGGAAGAAAGTTCCAAGGAGCTTTCCGCGCAGGCCTTTGGTTCTTTCCAACAATGATGCCTACGGCTAACCCAACCAATATACTCACTGATATCCAACTATATGGTTATCCATTAAAAACGGTAAATTCATGGCATACTGATTTAAATTTACCTACCTTACATCCAACTCATCATCCAACAATTCTAATCCTACCCATGTGCCAACTAGTTCAAACATTCCAAGCTCGGCGCTTCTTTTGTTCGGCCAGGGCTCAAAAAAAGCCCTAAGAGCGTGGAAGGTTTCAAGGAGCTTTCCGCGCAGGCCTTTGGTTCTTTCCATTCGAAAATGGGGGAGAGAAAAGACCAGACCCGCTATGACCTAAATGTGGGCGTGTTGAAAACTTGACTCATAAACTCCTAAACCAAACCTGGAACACAAAAGCACCCTGGGACTGCCTGCGTTTCTTACACAATCAAACGCAACACAAACACCCACAGCACCCAACAAGCACATACACGAAGGGGCCAGAATCACACACACACACAATTGGAACCCCTGGTTTACTCGCCTTCAAGGTTGACAAGGTATGGAAAAACTGGCCCTCTAACTGCAGACTCTGCAGGTCCTGGCCCCCCCACTCGGGCTCATGATGTAAGGGATTTCCTTCTTATCAACATAGTCGTTGTTCTGCACATCAGAGTACTACCAGGCCTTCCTGATTTAAAGCTTGTAGAATTCTTCTTGCTTTTACTTTTCAACGGGATTAGTTGGAGTTGGCAACATATTTAAATTTATAATTATAACCCAGTCCATCTTCTGGGATAACCTTTTGAACTTGGATCTGCTTGAGGGCGAAGACAGTCTTTGATTTGAATTAGGAGGCGTTACCATTGTCGCTAGCTTGAGAGTTTTAGGTGCTCTGGGCTCCTCCATGAGTACTGTCGCGGTAGAGGCCACCGCTGGTAACTTCACCGTGCTGGAAAGTGCCGTGAATATCGGGCGGCTCCATATTGCATGGGCAGACAGAAGACAAAAAAAACAAGCAGCCCAACAAACAGAAAGCCAACCAACCAAACCAGCAAACAAGCGCAGAAACCAAGCCAACTCCCAACCCAACCCAAACCACCAAACCAAGCCCAGCCCAAAGCAAGCCAACCAGGGCATCGGTTCCTCCTTCGGTATGGCGAAGTCTCCGAAGGTGTTAGCCACCTGGTTCTCCATGTCGTTGCTCAGCTTCTGGAACCAACTCTCCTGAATTCCATTCGGCTCGGATTTGACCGATTCGGGTGGCCCAACAAATCACAAAAAATGAATGCCACGGGGATCCTCCGATTTAAGATGTGCATGTGTGTGTGTGTGTGGCTCGTGGTTAGTGGTTGGAGCGCCTATTTTCAGGTTGGTTTAAAGGGACATCAAGGTAAAATAACACCATTTTGAGGCCCCCCTATTTTGGCAGATTTCAATTGGCAAAGGGAAACCAGCCCTTTGGGTGTAACTTAGTCGATCAAGTGGTTCAGGTTGGGGGAACCTTCTCATTTACCCCTCTCCTGGGTGCTTTTCTACCACCTCATGCATGGGTCCGATGGCTTGGAGGGTTGGGGTCAGCTTTCCCATACACTAAGGGCTTCAAATCCCCAAGCCAAGCCAACTGGGGTGCGCCCCCTCGGTTTCCAGCGCTCCTGCTCCTGCTCGCTCACTTCTACCTTGTCCACAGCTTCCTTGATCTCTGCCTGGTGCACTTCGAAGGCCCCTGGTGGATTGTAAGGGGACACCAAGAGGAAACAAGCCACCAACAGAACAGAACAATAGGACAAAAACTGCTAGAACAACCATGGAAACAAATAATAACATAACATAACACGTCAAGAGAAACAGAACAATCAAACCGTTAGTTTTCCACTTAATTTTGAAGCAAACAAACGAAAGGTGTTGCGCTTCTTGTTTTTGGGGACACCTGTTTGGGTCGGGGTCCTTATTTTATGATAGCCCGCTGTGTACTTCTGCCACACATCAGCCTACGTCGAACCAAAACTCGGTGTTTGGTCAAAGGTAACCCCTCCACCGGGAGGGAAAAAAACAACATGCAAATCCGACCCACCCTAACCAGCATATGAGGCAGAAGGTCCCTCCGGAGCCCTTGTACTATTTTTGCTCCTCGAGGGAAGGATCCTGGACATCTTGGCCCATCTCCAGGGCAAAACCTAAAATTCTGTCATACTGCAATACTGTTGGATCAACTTTGAAGGTGACACCAGAACTAATTTCAGCTTCCCTCTTCTTTATGGTTTGGTGGTTTGGTGCTTAAGGGGGTGATTTCCCAAGAACTGTGGGCATTCCCCAAACCACCAATCCATACCACCAATTCAGAGTTGCCTGATGATTGGAACTTACCCCTAGAAACAGAAACTAGGTCCTCCAGTAGGGAGGTTAGCATAAGGGTACCTCTTTTTTTTCTGTAGACCCCAAAAAGGGCAGAGAAGGACACCTAGCTGGGGGACCTAGGAAAGAAAAGCAATCCATATCACCAATCCATACCACCAACTAAGGGTTGCCTGATAATTGGAACTTACCCCTGTTTTCTCCAGTCTATTGTAGTAAGGGGAACCCTCCCAACCAAAAAAAAGTAAAAGGGCACCTATCTGGGGGGCCTGGGAAAGAACAAGACGGCGCTCCGGTTCTTGCCCCCCCTTTCGCCTCCAGCTCCTCCGGCGACACCGGCGCCGTTTGCGCGGCTCCGCCGTCGTCCCACTTGGAGGGCTTCCTGCGCTGGTTGAACCATGGTGGCTGTGGCTCTCGTTTGTTTTGTCTTCTTCGTGTTTTTTTTTGGTGTGTGTGTGTGTGTTTTTGTTTTTGTGTGTGTGTGTTTTTGGTTTTAAACAAATTAGCAGATGTCTATGTTTTTTTGGAGGCTCGGTGCCTTACGAACTTTGGGGCTCCGAACCCCTTTGCCGCGGACATCATGGCTTCAGTCCAGGCCCAGGACCCTTCGAGCAAATGTGTGTGCTGGATTTACCTGGATGTGGTCTACAAATCGGAAAATCCCCCGCAAAACAAAATACACACTACAGCCTTTTTGTTGGTTTCCGTTAAAACCGACCAACTTTGTTCTCAAGAGCCGGAACCTGGGGTTTTGCCTCAACCAGGGAGTGAACCTGCAGCACATGTGGCGGTTGTTCTTCCAGGGCACTGCCCGGAATCCCAGAGCAACCCCAAAGCCATTGGCAGAGGAACGTCCTTCCCACAAACAAGCTGAGGGGCGGCAAATACGGGGGCCTCTTGGGCATCCCAAGTGGCCAAAACGGGCCTCCGACTTGAAGGGAAACCATGGGGCTCCTTAATGGACCAACCCGCCCCCCTGCCACACTGATATTAACCAGAATGTGGGGATCCCAGAGTGAACTTGACACACTTTTGGGCGCACCAAGCATAAGATTCCCAATTCTTCATATTTGGTCATGGCCCACAGCTGCTGTACTCCGATGAAACTTTCAGATGCTGCATAGTTCGTCTTCCCTAGACTCATTTGCCCAAAGGACCTGAAAGTTAAATGTTAATAGTTTTGAACTGCGACTGGGACTAAAACTAAACCCCAATTGAACAGCCAACGGGTTAGAAGGGTCGGTCGGCTTTGGTGACACTCCCCGCAAAATGGTCCGGTGCTTAAAGGAGAAATGTCCCATGTACCATCCACTCCAAACCACAAATCAAAACCACCACCCGCTTGACGGGTGTCCTGGGCACCTAAGACCCCCCAGGGCAACCCAACCCCCCAGACCCCCCCCCCCCCCGCCAGACACCCCAGACCCCCCTTCCTGCGGCGCTTGACCTCGCTGGCCGCCGCGAGGCGCCGCGGCTCCAACAGCTGCTCCTTCATCTCCGCCTTCCGACTGAAAAAGCCCGAAAGTTTGCTCAGATCCACATTGCGGTCTTTAGGACTATGGTTCCCTACGAAATTTCAAAGCTGATTGGAGCCATGAACCATGAACCAACCCCATAGTGACTCGGGAATAGCAACCATTTGGGGCCAGTGGCTATTAAGGGTTCGCTCAGATCCGTAGGACAATGGTCCTGATTGACCATGGTCCAAACCCAAGTAAAGATAGCTGTCGTAATTTCATGAAGGCCTCAAATACGATCCCGAGACATTTTTTTGGGCGAGTTGGGAAGACACCTGTAGAGATTTGGGTGGGAATTGAAATAGGGGGACGTTTTGGACATCATGTTTGCGGAGATTTATTTCCACCAACCACCTTGGACATGGTTCCCTACTGAATTTCAAAGCTAATTGGAGCCATGAACCATGAACCAACCCCATAGTGACTCGGGAATAGCAACCAATTTGTGGCCAGTGGCTATTAAGGGTGGTGACTTTTCCCGTGGCTCACCCTTACGGCTCTGAATCAAACTTGCGCCTCCACTGCTGCGGAACCTTTGCCTGAAACTGGGCTTGATGGCCATTTCCAGAGATTCAACCAGAGTTGCGCCAATTTCCAGTAAACAAAGGCATGCACGTGAAACTTCCGGCCCCCCCCCTCACAACTCTATGTTTCAGGGAGGCGGATCAAAGTCAGAATTTTTGACCACTCTTCACAAACAACCACTTTAAAGGACCCAGTTCGAGGACTTCGCCTCGCCGCTACTTTTGGGGGGCCCCCATGTTTTTTGTACCCAGGGCCATTTAACTTCCTCGTGTCCCGCTTCCCTTTTGGGGATCCGCCGGCTTGTTCCCAAAAAAACAGACAACAATCCCCACGGGGCCAGCTTCTGAGATACCAGGGACACTCTTTGATGAGAGGGTCAAAAAGATGGTCCGCTTTGGCAGGGATCCTTGCATTATACACCTGAACATTGCCTTGTAACTGGTAGTTTCCCTTTATTTTGGTGGACAAAAACATGTTTCAAATGGTCAAAATGTATCTTTTAAGGAGCCCTGTTTAGAGATTGGTCGGCAAAGTTCCCCGATTTAGGGTTGGTCTTACCCTGTACTTCCCAACACGGGAATTGATTTAACAATTGCCAGATCACCCTGGAGAACTTTTTTTTTTCTCTCTCTCTCTCTCTCTGCGCAGATACATAAATATCTCTCTCTGCCTCTCCCCAGCCGAGCATGTCTCGTTCGTCCAAGATCAGGGATGCAACAACAGCCACTAACAGGCAGCGTACTGCTCCTTCTTTCTCAAGCTTCTCCGCTTGCAAATCCTTAAGTGGATTCCTTCAGTGGAAACACCCACCAGGCAGCCCCAAAACCACCCGTGCCTTGAACTCCTCCGGGGGCTCGCCAATCAACACCAGAGCGGTGCGCCTCAGGAGCGGAATGCATGTGTGCGTGCTCGTCGTACGTGTATGTGTGTAATTGCATGTGTAAATTCAGGGAGATGTGTGTGTGTGTGTGAGCGCGTGTGCGCGCGCGCGTCTGCCAGGGGGTGCTTTCATCTCACCATTTGCATCGTGACGCGCGTAAATCTTGCAGCGGGTTTAAAGAACAACGCAGCTTAACCGAGCCTATGGTACAACAAAAGCTACGCTAGGGCTGCTCGAACATCGCACGAGCTTCACACGCGGGAAAGACGAGGTCCTTACCCCTAGCAGGTTCATAGGCATGACTGCTGTGAAAGGAAAATGAGGGAGTTTGCCTTTTTTTCGATGCAAAACAAGAAGTGTGGAAACTACGGAGTTTCAATGATTTCCCAAAAGGGTGTCAACAGGTCCCTGCATTCACGTGGGGTCCCCCAAAAGGAGGCTCCACTACAAACGCGAAATGCTGATCAAGGGGAGAACCCCTGAGGCAATCGTTGCCAACTGCGGAGCCTCTTACAGCCCCAAAAGCACCAAAAAGGGCGCAACCAATCCGCTGCAAGTCAATACTTGGCTCGGTTCGTTTCTTACATGGTTGAAACCGCCTAACCGGGGCTCAGTTTACATCTCAACACCGGGGGGAGAAAACCAAGGCCCACTCCCCCGTGGCTCCGACCTCTGAGGCTGGTTTTGTCTGCAGCTTGCCCCAATTCAGCGCCCCATTGTTCCAAGTTTTCTCAGATGCCCAGTGGCATGGGGGAAAAAAGGGCATGCTTTTTTGGGTTGGTTGAGATTAAACGGAACCCTTCCAAAAAAACAAAATCGGGAGAAACAAAAGGGCACCACTGGGCAACTTGCCCCCTGCAGGCGGCTGGGAGACCGTGAGAAACGTCCACCTGCGGGGCCTTGGGTAGGCCAAGCCGCTTGAACCGCCCGGCGTCGAAGCTGGCGAGAACCTTCTGGCGCTCCGTGGGCAGCAGGTTCTTCCTCAACCCCAGACGGTTGCTCCAAAGTTGGCGCCGGGAACATGTTTGGTCCAAAACTGAGAAATCGGAGATCCCTGAGTGGAGGACCTTTTTACATGTTTTAAGTCCAAAAACCTAAAGATCGGAGACGTGCGAGTAGAGGACCTACATGGAATATTCCCAGGTGAGCTCCCCGTGAAATAGGCAGAAAGAAGATTTATATCGGCCATGCGCCTTGCTACACCTCCCACCATGCTTAAGACTTGTATAGATTTGAAGTCAGGGGGTGAGACCACCTACTACGCTGGCCACATGTGTTGAGCGCTCACATGGTTCTTTAAGGGGTCCTGGGAGCCATGTTAGAGGTGTTCTTTGGCAGCGGTAGAGGCCCTATATTGCGGGTAGGAACGCGTTCCACTTTATATATTTCTTACATGGCCCGAGTGCATGTAGGCCATCATGTCACCCTCCCGCTACAGTACCCCGGTGATGCGTTTGTCCCTTGCTGCGAGCAGCCTTGAGTCAGCCTGAATCCGAGCGTCTGAAGCTCCATGAGGACATAGTCCCGCTCCAAGCTGGGGGCGATGGCAACCATGGCCTGCTTCACATCTCCTTTGTCCAGCTCCTGCAACCGCCCAGGGGTCACTTTCTCACCAAAGAAACACGGGTGACCTGGGCCAATCGTTGAAGCACCATTCCAACCCGGGCCACGCATGTCAAACTCGGCATGTGAAATCTGAAAAGGAAAAGCATTATTAGCCCATCAAGGCGCGTTTTTGGGGCTCGGTAGCTTCATCCTGGTGGGAAAAAGGAATCCGAAAGGACAACACCGTTTCAGAAGTCCCCTACTCTGACCCATACCCATAAATCATGGGGTTGATTCACATTGATGTTCACGCATGGTTCTGTTTAATGACATTGTTCTTAGCTGCATTCTGAAAAGAAGGGTCCCTGGTATTTGCGGAGAGCCTTTGCCCCCAACATATGTCTCATCCTTGCCCATACGTAGTGACATTTAGTAAAAGTGCAACAGAGATCCCAGGCTACCAAACCGAAAAAAATGCAACAAAGCTCCCATGTTACGCAAACTGAAGTTCAGAAAAGAACAACTGCAACCTTCATGGGGGTTGACGTCTGCCTCCTTGGTGGCTCAACATGGCTCATCTTTGTTGGACACTGAGACTTTTCTTGGCGTGGTATCGACGTGCCAGGTAGAATGTCGGGCAACAAACAAGACATATCCAACCCTTTTGGTTTCCAGCTGGGACGATTGAACATGTGATATCTGGCATATACCTGGCTGATGTGAATGCCAAGCCTTTTCGATAAACAAAAGGCGATGAGAGAATAAGGGCGACTTATCCGCCTGCCGGGCATTGACGGACGTGCTTGCCCATGGGTCCAAACTGCATCTTTGTTTAACTGGCTCATGTTGCATCCAACCCATCCCTCAGAAACAGTGTAGTTGGAGCATTTTGGGTGTTGGGGAAGGGTACTGGAAACCCACCCCTTAGGAATTCGAATCCATTACGCCTTGGGCTTTCTTTGGCTCGCCGCCAAGCTCGGCCGCCCTCGCGCCTTGATGCCGAACTCGGAGTCGCGGGGGTAGAGGCCACTGGCGACAGCCCAGTTCTGCAGGCTGCCCCCGAGCTCCGTGAAGCTCCTGCGAGCGCATCTACGTCCCGCCTTCGTCACTTCGGAACGGACCGTCGCGAGCGCGTCATGGTCGTACGGGCAACGTGTCATATACAATGCAGTTTGGCGCCTGTGGATACACCCGGAAACAACAAAGAAGAAACAACACGCGAGGGAAAGCAGATCAAAATCAGCCAAGGGTGAGTTTTCAACAGGCCCAAGAATGTATCCTTTGAGGGGCACTGAGCAAGCGAACCACTGCCAGTGTTTCAAGCAGTGCCCAAATGTCAAAGGCTCCAGATTACCAATGGGCCCTGCCAAAACCATTCAGTATCAGCTCAACCTCTCGCTCTTCCCAAAATGGATGCATGCTTCGGGTTTCTCATAGAGTTGTCCGTTTGAATATCTGACAACCAGCATGAATCAGTTGGAGTCGGTTGACTTCCCTCCTAAGTGATTTATAAACTTACTGCGGGATGGTTTCGCAAAAACCACTTCGCAACACGGGTCAGAAACCCTGGAATGATTCGATTCACCCGAGTTTACCAACAAACGATAGTCTACCATGGAGTGAAAAACAGGATGTTGTCCATCCACAGTATGGCTTGTAAACCTACTTAATGTAATTTGCTGTAGGCTTGTCTAGTCACACATAGCCGGCGTGTAAACGAGCACGTGCGCCGTTTGCGTCAAGTAGAGTCAAGTAGAGCGCCGTGCATCTTTTTGAGCGTAAACAGAAATCCACAAGAAACCACCCGTTTCGGGTAAAGCGCCCATCTTGAGACAAACCCCAGTATCCCAATCCTATCTTTGAACATGTCCGACCCCGCCGCCCGCCCGGCTTATCTTCTGAACCCTTGGCATGCCAACCTCATCTTGACACACACCCAACTGAAAGCAACTCAGATTACAGTCCCCGCCCACCCCAACCAACATGGAACCTGACTGCGGCTCTAAACGAGACCAAGTAGGGAAACGCTGAAGCTTTGCCAAGCATCTGAGGCTTTTTGCTCTGGAGGTACGCGCAGGTGCCCTCGTTGGGCAAGCCCACCGGCACGATCACCTAGACATTCGAACAGGAATTCCTAAGCCCTAGCAGCCCGTCGGGTTATTCCGCGGCAAAACTGGCTGTTCTCCGGCCACACGTCACGACCCAAAGATGCGAAAACATTCCAAGCGCGGCGGGAAAGAGACCCCCAGTCTGATTCTATCGGTAGGCCAGTGCCATCGAAGCAGCCAACGAGCCGACAGAATGGACGTTCAGATCCAATGCCGGTTGCGCTGAAGCACTTTGCACATACCCCCCCCCCACAATGGAGTAACCCCCACTAAAACGAACGGAACCAAGCAGGCAAACACCCAGAAACATGCTGAGAGCAGTGAAGTAAAGTAAGAACCTGACTGGACAACTCAAGTGGTCTTCCCACCAAATAGTCCAGAGATTCGGGAAGCGAGGGAGGGGCAAAACAAACCTTCTCTGGCTGGTTTGGAATGGAAGCCCGACCCAAAAATGAGCACCCCTGTTGCTCCCCTTTCCTCCCTACTAAAATGGTCTTCCCCAAAAGTGGCCAAAGTCTCGAAACTTTGGAAGTGGGTCGCTCCCAGTTGCTTCAAGTTGGCTTCCTGCCTCCTTCTTGGCCACCTCCGACTGCAATGGCTCCACGTCCTCTTTGGCCGCGTCTTGCAGCGTGCGGCACGCGAAGGGCAGAGGCGTCAAGGGCGCCAGCCCGGTGAAGTTGCTCTGGAGGGTCACCTCGATCCCAAGCCTCACCCCTGGCTTCATCCAACGGCAACCAAAAGGAAAAATGCCAACGGTCACCACCCTCTTTGTGTCTAACGTTGAGCGAGGTGTGTTCTTGAAGTGCACCCCTCGTTCCCAGGAATCAACGGGCCAAAAATGGAAACCCACAAATCAATCTAAAGGGCACGTTCAGGTATGGATGTTGAGGTGTGGAGGTTATATATCACTTGTATGAGGGAGGGGCATACACTGCCCTGAAGGCCTAACAAATGTGGTACATAAACATCCATACCTCCAAAACCCATACCTGCAACTGCTCTGCACATGGAGTAGCTCACTTGGATTGATGGTTTGGAGGTGTTCCGGGGTGGTTTCCCGTACTCTCTACTGAAGCCAGGGGGCTCCCTAAACCCGACTGAAATTGGCTGAAATCTGGGCGTGAGCCCGGCGAGGGGCGTTCTTGAAGTTCACCGTGGGAAAGAGTGGCTTGTTCTTCAGATGCTCGGGCAAGGCTTGGGGCCTTCCCACGCGCTCCCCGTTCACGAAGAAGCTCACCTCGCTGCAACCAAATGACGTCCACTTTGAACGAAAGACGAGAAGGGGCCCCAGGAACTTGCAAAAAACAAACACGCGCAAGGCATGAACTTGGGAAAACCAAATGGAAGCGGAGAAAGAATTGAGCAACATGGAAGGAAGTGATGATCAAAAGAAAGAACACAAGAACTCATGGAAGAGAAAGCGGACAACAAATGACTTATGAACACAGGTGTTTAAATTCAACAAACCATGCAAGCAGAACGGGGATTTTTGTGAAAACAGCGATGCAGGATCCAACCATAAGAAGGACCGAATGTTTACACGGTGATCCCATGAAACAAAAGCACGCGCTGAGAAAGCGCAAACCCACCGTCTTGGGGGAGGCCAACCTTGGGAGGATTAACTATTCGCTCACAGCAACTTGGCAGGGTGAACCGGGTTCCCCAAAAAGGTGAATAGGGAAGCCTGGCAATCCACCGAACACCCAGAAAGGTGAACTACACAAACTAGGTCCTCCAGTAGAGTGGTTAGACTCATACCTTTTTTTGTGCGTAGTCTATTTTGATCGTACACCCTCGCCCAAAACAAGGGTGAAAGGGCACTACGGGGGGACCTAGCGAAGCGGAAGGGGGGACACAACTTGGCACCCCAGTCCCCCGTCGCCGAGAGGCCGTTTGGAAGTTGGGATGCTCGGGGGTCAAATTCAGCAGCACCCCCAGCGTGAGCTGCCGCTCCATCTGGCGAATCCCATGGCCCACAAACGTCCGGGGATGGACCTAACCCTGCTTCCTCTGGTTGCCCTTTGAGCACATTGAACGTCTAATTCAGCATCCAGCCTACATCCTAACCCGTCCTTCTCATTCCCCTAAACATAAGACTCACAGTTAAGACCTTCTTAAGGCCTTACTTGAAAGTTAATCCGTGCATAAACCACATGCCATCTGCTGCGAAGCGGATTTTGCTCCTCCACAGATAGCTATGTTGGTCACCCGGAGGTTCATCAACATACCACGGTTGTAACTGAGGTCACCGAGGTTGACCCAGAGACTCACTTCGTGGAGTGGCCGTTATGAAGGTCCAAACAGTTTGTTTCCCACAAACAAAGTCCAGCAGCACTCCGGGAGTGCGACGTGGGTTGGAGCAGTGGTTGCGATGTGGTACTCGGAGTTGACCCACAGGCTGGCCTTGATCCGGTCCAGGCCGTCGATCCACCGCTTCTTCCCCTCTGTGAGGCAGCAGCCTGACCCCACCGGAGCAAGAGCAGGAAGGCGAAACTTGGGGCAGGCGAAGCACCCCATTCCTTTCAGGGTTCCCTGGGATCCGTTTTTGGAACCTGGGCGCTGAGAACCTACCCTAAACCCTAAGGAGCCCAAGGAACGAACCCCAGAGGCCCGATTCAGAACCTTGGTAACTTCAGGAGACCCAGGAAAAAAAGAAAAAGAGAAGGGCTTCCTAAGCTTGGACGCAGGCTTCCAAGCCTCAGCTCTGGGGTTCCCCAAACAGAGATCGCTCCACACATGTCACAAGTGCTCCCATGTGTTTGGGGCAGATGGGCCAACGATCTCCTTGGCCAAATGACATTGCTAGAACATACTCTTTTTGGGGCTTGGGAACCCACCAAACCGAAATGCGCATGAAGCTGAGTTGGACGGGTCCCTTTTTTCGATTCATCACCGGCACCTTCCCGCTCCATAAGGTTGGATTAAGGGAGCCCCGCGGGACAAGCTGAGCTGCAGGTGAAAGATGGGGAAAGCATCCATGACAACTGGCACCTTCAAAATTTAGTTGGAGGGAACTTCCATGTCCAGCGAACCCATGTGGTTTACCTAGCTAGCTTCAATTTGAAAACCTTGGTGGCTTAGCGGTTCAAACTCCCTTCCCAAAAAGGGTTGGGTGCTTGGAGACCGCTGAGTTCCCTCCCAGGCTTTTCGCACATCACCAGGAACCCCCCTCCAACTTGGCCTAGGGTGTTTAAACCAAAGAGGAAGTACAGGGACACCGGATGCCTGCTTTCCCTCTCCAGGGGCAAAAGTAGATAGCCCCAAGACCCTTGGCTCCCGTCTAACCAGCTAGTTCACCGAGTTGGATACCGCTCACCGCTCTGGAGCTGCCGGAGCCATGATTTCCCGCAGCCCGGCGCACAAACAAAACCTTGGCCATCCTTGGCGCAATTGAACAATGCGTGCCACCCGGCGCCACTAGGAATTGAAACTGGGGTTGACATTTTCAAAACCCACCAAAAACGGGCACCCTCCAAAAAAGACAGACCTTCTTTTTTCCGGGCAGTTTGCAGGAGAGGGGTTTTGGAGGCATGAAGGCTATATAATATGTATATTATAAAAGCAAATGTTCTATACCACTTGAAGGGTAAAAACTGCCTTGCAAGCTCGCAACAGGTGGCACATAATCATCCATATCTCGTCCTTCGCCGCCGAGAGGACACCAGGGTTGCTTTCCTTTGGCCTACTTGTGTTGGAGGGTGTCCCGTGAAAAAAAGGGAGACAAGCCCAAAGGCAAAGCAACCCATTTTTCTGGCTGCTTCTCAGCAAATGAGAAAACGATCCCTATAAACCCCTCTATCCTTCAAGGAAATCCCCCGAACGCTTCATTCCCAGCACCCGGACGGGTCATTCCCTGCCAGCAAGCGGGATCTCCTCCCGCCGGCTTCATTTTTCCCATGATCAAAGTCACCCCCCAAGTGGTGGGTTAAAGGGCAATCACTGGCCATTTTCTGACTTTCACCCGAAATCCTCAAAATGACCCGCCCCCGTGGTTAAAGTTTCTTTTCTGACTTTAAGCCCCAGAAATCGTCCAGCCCCGGTCCACGGAGCCCGGGCCTTCGGTATCGAAGCCGATGGAGTCCTGATCCTCCCCCAGGAACAGCGAGGACTCGGCGCTGGAGAAGCCCAAGCCGCACAGGGCCGTGGCCACGTTGCGCCTCGAGTCTGGAAGTCTGGAAGTCTGGAAGTCTGCGTGCGGATTTCGTGGGGACGTCCCCAAGGGAAGCCCCCTATATGGTGGACACTGAACGGTTCTATTTTGCAACCTCCTTCTTTAGGGTATTGGTTTTTAGGGTTCATGGTTGCAAAATGTTCGACTCTAGGTGTCCATGGCACGGAAGCGCCCCCCCCCAACATGCAAAATGTTGCCGGCAAGACCTCTTTGGTGATTGACTTAAAGGGGCTCCCGCTATTGCAAACAAAAGTATAAAAGGGCTGGCTGGAGGCCTTGATAACTCATCTTGTAAACCTCGCAGTTTTTGTTTACTTGCTTTATAGATCCAAGCAAAACATTTGGCGGCTGTGTATGCCTCTTCAAATGGGTGAAACCCCGCTCCGTTTTGACTCCTCACAGCTCTGAGCAACGAGTTTCTTGGAAGAAAAGGGTCCACGCCTGGGAATTGGGGGGCCTTCCCTTCGAATATCCAGGCAGGGTTGGTCCTATTCGACTCGATCCTTGGAACCAGTTGAAGGTCCGGAACCCTGCTTTCAACCGAGGGAACCACCCTGGCCTAAAATGGTCTGTCCAAAACCATGCAAAGAATTTACACGGCGGGCACACCTAAATCAATGGTTGGGATTATCTATCACTAACCTTCATCTATTGCGGGGCTTTGATTGTGGCTCATTTTGGCTTCTAGATCCACGCCCTCCTGGTTGAAAATGTTGGAGTGGATCCATAAAGGAACATGACACGGGGAGGGTCCCTGTAACTGGAAGCCGCGGGGTGCCTTCCGGAGTTGAGCGTCGGCACAGGATACTCCCCTCCATTACTTCTGCCGCGCGGGAGGTTTGCAGCTTTGTCCTTTTGTCACTTTTGGTTGGGAAGAATGGCATCCCTTCCCAAGAGGGACCTTTCACTTGGAGGGGCCATGTTGTTCTATTCAGTCAGACAGCTTTAAGATGAGAACCCTGCTGGTGCAATGTGACATACTTCATTCATTATCCTACCGCAACACTGCACTACCGGAGTGGGACAAACTCGAAATGGCCATGTCACTGCAATGTGCTATCTTCCAAAAAACATAAATGCATGCTAGGTCGGCCAAAGGGGAAAAAAACTGGGCCGACCAACCGTTGGTTGTTTCGTTGGTCACTGAGAAAGGGACACAAAACAGCACGTGTCTGAGACCGGGCCAGGGCACTGCTTGCTCCCATACTCGATGCTTCGTCTCACTTCGATCACCTCAAGTCAACTCGAGCGGGTCTAGCCACTTTTTTACCTCTCCTTTGGGAACTTCCGGCTGAGTTTCGGACATGCACCGGAAGGAGATCCCCCAATACCCACGTTTTTCAGGGTATGATCTCGACCCTCTACCAAAAAAAGGAGGTATAGCGGGTATTTGGAGTCGGGGGTATGGGAAACCAGTTGGATACCTGCATGGGGGGCATTCCCTTCTGGGACCCAAGGCCCCAGCGTACACCAGGATTGGGGCTCGTGAGTGACCATCGCTTACCAAAGGTCATCCCCATGACTTTGTCACTTGGAGCATTCGCTCCACCACGCCTTTCACTCCACGAGTTTGGACTTGAAACTCCCGAAGGCCCTCCAGGCAGAAGGCCCTTCCGAAACCCAGGGCAAGCCCACCTCCGAACCTCCGGCCACGAATTTTTCCGGGGTTGCCGTAAAAGGTCCCTGACGAGTAACCCGCACGTCGAAGAAGTACCTGCCGGCTTGCAAGCCCGAGCCCGCGCGCACCGCGGCCGCGAGATGTTGGAAGCCTCGATCGCTGAGAGGGATCAGCAGCCGGCTGCCTCGGGCATGTGACGCCAGAAACTGCTTGGTTGCTGTTGGCCCCCCTGCAAAAAACATAACTTCTTGGGGTTTACTGGAAAACCCCTTGATTTCCCAAAAAGTTAAAGTGTAAAGATCCAACCCAGTGGCAGTCAAGACTTGGCCTGAGCATAAGGTGTTTTGTCTCGCAAGCAAAACAACCCCACATGGGACATTACATGTCCCTTGTTCTCCGCTTGCAACTTTTACGGCATAAACCGGATTTGTTTTTTAGTTGGGGGGAAACATTAGAGAGGCTCCAGGTCGGCACCCTGAGTCAACTGCTGTGGTCCTACTACTCAGCATACGTTAGTGGGTGGCGCCCCTTTTGCCTCCGCAAGAACCAGGGGTCGCAACCCAAATCCTAACCGCCAAGGGCAAGCTGAGCTTCCGGCCATGTTCGAACCATTTATGACCTGTAAAGTTGCTTTTTCAACTGTCCCCAGCAGTGACTCTGTGAGAAGATGGGCGGCACTTTTTCTGAATTTGTTTGCAGGGAGTTCAGGATGGAGTCCACTGTACAACTAGCCATCACATGGCTGAGTACAACTCAAAAAAGGGGCCTGGATGTTTGTGTTGAATGGCCGTAAGGGACAGCAAAAGGGTGGTACATGGAAGCAACCGTCTCGTATTGGGAAGGTCACTCAAATATGGATCGGTGAGGGGTATCTTCTCTCGGCTGGTGGGAACCCCGTATGAATAAACCCCTGGTTGATTGTGATCGCACTGCTTCCCATTTCGGAGGCCGGGCTTCTTTTTTGGTGGAGCACCCTTGGTTCGCCTGGCTATGTATTTACGATTTCTTGGGAACCAACTGCACTGCCCACTGTATTACTCTTTTTGGGCGGTGTTCGCTCATTTCGAGGCCCATTCCATGCCTGACTGGCTCCATTAAAAGCTGACATCCTGGCGATGATGTACTCCCTAACCAAATGGTGGTTTGAGGGGAAACCGCCGGAGCCCCTCAACACGGGTGCTTCTCAAGATTAGGGATCCCAGTCAGGTGGTTGGTTTCCTTTAAAGTTCTGCTCAGGGACCCGGTAACTCGCCAGCCCCGGCCTGGTGTAGACAGCACGTTGAGAGTGGAATGCTTGGAGTGGAAGGTCGCAAAGGCCCCAGCACTGACTCGCTCTCGCGAATCTGGCGGGGAGTCCTCAAACGGTTCGACCCGGCTTTGATCTTTATATGGCCAGAGTCCAAGAAGCACCCCCCGCTGAACGCGAACCGGCAGGGAAAAAAGAAAGCGGGCGCCGCTGGACATCTTGGCAAATGAGCCTCTCACTTCCTGAGTGGATGGGCCAAGAACCCGGTGGTTTGGAAATTACGGGGTAAACTCCAGTTGCCCTCTACGAGAACTAGGGGTTCGAAACCATCAATCCCAACCATAAGGGTGACCTGAGGCAGAATGGAGATCAAAAAACACGCCCTTGAATAGGGCTCTCCTCATGTGAACGAATTGATCGGAAGCCTAGAAAATTGGGTTCTCCGAGATTCTGACTAGAGTATACTATTGAAGCACTTGCATTCCCAACCGGTGGTTTTGGAGATTTCCGGGTGCACTACAAACACCTTTGGGTTTCCTCATGTAACCTGACTCGACAGAGGGATCCGCCGGTTTCTTTTCTGACAATACGCGGTATAGGCGTTTGCATGCTCAGTTTTAGAAATTCCGCAGGAAACGAGTGGGCCACACTTGGGGGGCGCTGATTGACAGAGGGATCCTCCTCGCACTCCACGTAGGGCTTCTCGGACTCTCGCTCCTTGGCTGGTTCGTGCAAGCCTGCCATGGGTCCGGTGCGGCCCTGGTGGATTTTCGTTTCTATTCTGTTTCTTGGCTTTTGGGGTTAGCTTTTGTTCTTTGAGTTTTGGGGCTTCTGTCTTTTGGTGTGGTTTTGGTTTGAGGCTCCCAGTTCAAACACTCGCTGGAGCGACTGTGACAAGTCTGGAAAACACCGGTTTGCTCAAAAGGAACAAGGCAAACCACGAATTCAGGCCCCAACATTCCGACAAAAACAACTGATCGAATGCCCTTTCACCCCCATGCCTTTGTAGGACGGAAGTTTCTGACTCGACTGGGCGCAAAGCAAAGCAAAGCGATGTCTGGGCTTGTCTCAAAATAGAGGAAGCCCTATTCAATGTTGGTGTCTCGGTGAAAAACATACCCTTAATAAAACACACCCTTTCTGACAACCACACGCAGGCCCATGTGACACAACAGCGGGCGGAGCCCATGAAATGCCGAGGCGCAGCTTCTCTGGGCTCGGATGGGCCTCTCTCCGATGGCTCCCGGTCATTCGCCTGTCCTGAAGGAAATGGCAAGCGCGCAGTGGTTCAGAGGGGGGCTCCTTCAAAATGGGGGGAGGGGGGGCAGGGGGGCGGGGGGGTCGTCATGTTTGGGGAAAACGGGGCGCGGGTGACTTTTATCAGCCCCTTGCTTTTCATCGGGCGCATAAGGATCTATACAGAAACAGCTCCAGGCCGAATTCGGGCTTGAGCTTCCCGAGCACATTCATGACTGTTTGATGGAACGACTGCATAAGCCAGGGGGGTTCTCAAACTTAGGAACCCCTTCAGGTGCTTGGTGTTCTGTTGTTTTGCCATTAAACAAATACTCTAGATTGTGTTAGATGCTGAGATGATGTTCCCGAGAACCTAGATTCCGAACTCGACGTGTGGGTTGCCCAAGCATTTTTGCATTCCTGCCTTCGTTGCCATCTCGCTCTTCAGCCTCGCCCTCGCCGCCTTGGTCGTCGCCCTCGCCGTGAGCGTCTTCCCGGCCTTTCGGAGCAACAGGTGAGTCAAAAGCCAGCTTTGAAAGGACAACCTGGGATTATCTTTTTGGGGGGACCCCAAAAATATGTGGTTGTCCTTAGGCGTCCCTTTAAAGCCACAAAAAAGAGGTACCCCCCCTCCAAAAAGAGAAACACACACCCACCTAAAGATCAGCGCAACAAAACGCAAAGTGAGCCCCAACTAAGACGCAGTGGTTCCCTCGGCATCCTCCGAACCCCAAAAAATCGCCTCCCGCACCCTCTTCATCTGCTGCGCCCTCTTCACCTCCTTCTCCATCTTGGGCATCTGAAGCCTCCAGGTTGTCCCCAGCGTCATCGCCCCAGTCCCCTTCTGCCGGCGCTTCCTGCCACGATTGCGCATGGACTCCCTTCATTTCAAGCCTGAGTTGACAAGTCAGGAATGTCCAAATCTGTCGTCCTTTGCTACAATGATGAGAAAGGAAACTACTGTGACAACATCCGCTTCGCACCAGTCGGTAGATGATGTATGCCAGCACTAAATAAAACAAGGGCCTCATCCATCACGAGTGGTGCAGGATTTGGCTTATCCAAAGTATTAACAAATTGTCTCAAGATCACCAATGCAACCTGGAAGGTAGCCAGCCGCCGCTTCGTTTTGGCACAGGGTCCAGCTCATGTTGCGGAGATGACATCTCAAATGCCTAAGCATTGTGAAAATAAGCCAGGCAAGCCCATTACGTGTTCTGCCATGACCACTTGCGATACCTAGTGAAATTGCCGGCCTGGGAAATCCGAGCCAAGCCATCCGCAAGACGTTTTCTGACAATATACAGAAAAGTTGTTAGGTAGGCGTTTACATGTGCTCAGTTTTGGAGATTCCGCAGGCAACGAGTGGGCCACACTTTGGGGGGACTTCAAACACCTTTGGGGTTCTTCATGTAACCTGACTCGACAGAGGGATCCTCCTCGCACTCCACGTAGGGCTTCTCAGGCTCTCGCTCCGTTTTTCTGTTTGGTTTTTGGGTTTAGCTGTTGTTCTTTGGGTTTTGGGGCTTCTGTCTTTTGGTGTGGTTTTGGCTTGAGGGGTTTGGGGGTTGAGCCTTTCCGGAAGCCGTAGGTTGAGGGTGCAACTGAGCAACTCCAAAGATCTACCAGTGATCTCGGATTGGTTGATACAAGTCGAAACTTTGTGTTTCCCACCGCCTAAAACGGTCTGGCCAACAAGTTTAAGGTACATGGACCCAGAGTCCTCCTTGCCCTCTAAAACCCATGGGTGGCAAAGGCCGGCACATAAAAAGCTCACAAAAAGAACAACTGCAGAAAAGGCTCGTGGCAAAGGTTTGCTCAAAGGGAACAAGGCAAACCACAAATTCAGGCCCCAACATTCCGACAAAAACAACTGATCGAATGCCCTTTCACCCCCATGCCTTTGTAGGACGGAAGTTTCTGACTCGACTGGGCGCAATGCAAAGCAAAGCGATGTCTGGGCTTGTCTCAAAATAGAGGAAGCCCTATTCAATGTTGGTGTCTCGGTGAAAAACATACCCTTAATAAAACACACCCTTTCTGACAACCACACGCAGGCCCATGTGACACAACAGCGGGCGGAGCCCATGAAATGCCGAGGCGCAGCTTCTCTGGGCTCGGATGGGCCTCTCTCCGATGGCTCCCGGTCATTCGCCTGTCCTGAAGGAAATGGCAAGCGCGCAGTGGTTCAGAGGGGGGCTCCTTCAAAATGGGGGGAGGGGGGGCAGGGGGGCGGGGGGGTCGTCATGTTTGGGGAAAACGGGGCGCGGGTGACTTTTATCAGCCCCTTGCTTTCATCGGGCGCATAAGGATCTGAAACAGCTCCAGGCCGAATTCGGGCTTGAGCTTCCCGAGCACATTCATGACTGTTTGATGGAACGACTGCATAAGCCAGGGGGGTTCTCAAACTTAGGAACCCCTTCAGGTGCTTGGTGTTCTGTTGTTTTGCCATTAAACAAATACTCTAGATTGTGTTAGATGCTGAGATGATGTTCCCGAGAACCTAGATTCCGAACTCGACGTGTGGGTTGCCTAAGCATTTTTGCCTTCCTGCCTTCGTTGCCATCTCGCTCTTCAGCCTCGCCCTCGCCGCCTTGGTCTTCGCCCTCGCCGTGAGCGTCTTCCCGGCCTTTCGGAGCAACAGGTGAGTCAAAAGCCAGCTTTGAAAGGACAACCTGGGATTATCTTTTTGGGGGGACCCCAAAAATATGTGGTTGTCCTTAGGCGTCCCTTGAAAGCCGCAAAAAAGAGGTACCCCCCCTCCAAAAAGAGAAACACACACCCACCTAAAGATCAGCGCAACAAAACGCAAAGTGAGCCCCAACTAAGACGCAGTGGTTCCCTCGGCATCCTCCGAACCCCAAAAAATCGCCTCCCGCACCCTCTTCATCTGCTGCACACTCTTCACCTCCTTCTCCATCTTGGGCATCTAAAGCCTCCTGGTTGTCCCCAGCGTCATCGCCCCAGTCCCCTTCTGCCGGTGCTTCCTGCCACGATTGCGAATGGATTCCCTTCATTTCAATCAGGAATGTCCAAACCTTTCGTCCTTTGCTACAATGATGAGCAAGGAACCTACTGTGACAACATCCACTTCGCACCAGTCTGTAGATGATGTATACCAGCACTAAACAAATCAAGGGCCTCCATCCGTCGCGAGTGGTGCAGGATTTGGCTTATCCAAAGTATTAACAAACTGTCTCAAGATCACCAATGCAACCTGGAAGGTAGCCAGCCGCCGCTTTGTTTTGGCACAGGGCCCAGCGCATGTTGCGGAGATGACATCTCAGATGCCTAGGCATGGTGAAAATAAGCCAGACAAGCCTATTAAGTGTTCTGCCATGACCGCCAGACATGTTCTGACAACATGCAGAAAAGTTGTTAGGTAGGCGTTTACATCCACAAGCAACGAGTGGGCCACACTTTGGGGGGACTTCAAACACCTTTAAGCTTCATGTAACCTGACTCGACAGAGGGATCCTCCTCGAACTCCACGTAGGGCTTCTCAGGCTCTCGCTCCGTTTTTCTGTTTGGTTTTTGGGTTTAGCTTTTGTTCTTTGGGTTTTGGGGCTTCTGTCTTTTGGTGTGGTTTGGGCTTGAGGGGTTTGGGGGTTGAGCCTTTCCGGAAGCCGTAGGTTGAGGGTGCAACTGAGCAACTCCAAAGATCTACCAGTGATCTCGGATTGGTTGATACAAGTCGAAACTTTGTGTTTCCCACCGCCTAAAACGGTCTGGCCAACAAGTTTAAGGTACATGGACCCAGAGTCCTCCTTGCCCTCTAAAACCCATGGGTGGCAAAGGCCGGCACATAAAAAGCTCACAAAAAACAACTGCAGAAAAGGCTTGTGGCAGAGGTTTGCTCAAAGGGAAAAAGGCAAACCACAAATTCAGGCCCCAACATTCCGACACAAACAACTGATCGAATGCCCTTTCACCCCAATGCACGTGTAGGACGGAAGTTTCTGACTCGACAGGGCGCAAAGCAAAGCAAAGCAAAGCGATGTCTGTTGGTGTCTCGGTGAAAAACATACCCTTAATAAAACACACCCTTTCTGACAACCACACGCAGGCCCATGTGACACAACAGCGGGCGGAGCCCATGAAATGCCGAGGCGCAGCTTCTCTGGGCTCGGATGGGCCTCTCTCCGATGGCTCCCGGTCATTCGCCTGTCCTGAAGGAAATGGCAAGCGCGCAATGGTTCAGAGGGGGGCTCCTTCAAAAAATTAAAATTGGGCGAGAGGTATCTCTCTCACTGTTCGGGCCCGTCGGGCCCGTCGAGCCTGTCACACCCGTGAGGCTCGTGGGGCCCGTCAAGGACGACAAAAGAGGAGGTTATTTGATGCAGTCATGCCTATGGGAAATTGAAGCTTTTCGAAGCAGTTGATCTTGACACGAGGCTGCTGTTGGCTGACAACCCACGCCAGGCACGGAGCAAGATCTGCCCAAGATTTTCTCAAGCTCACGCCCACAAATGCCCTCCAAATCCCACCGGCGCATCCACCTGCCAAAACTCGGAGTCCACAGCACGGCCCCGTTGAAAGCTCCCGCAGCCATCGCACCAGAGATGTTTTTTTGGGAACAAAGGCGCTTGAAGAGACACTTCAAGCGGGAGCTCTGGCTATGCCAGCGACACCGGCAAACAGGTTCAAACCTGATACAAGCCAATACTGTTGTGTGCGTGTGTGTCTGCTCCATTTAATTGCCCCGGTGGCCTACTCAGCTTTCTATCTAGCCATCTGCTTGCCTACTCATCCATGCAGATCTTTGTGCATCTATTCATCTACTGTCTATTCGTTTGTTTGTCCATCTGCCTGTCCATCAACGCATCTGTGCATTTCCCAACCTGTTTATTCCAATCTGCTCTGGCCTAATCCAACCTAATCTCATCCATTTGCCTACCTGTCTATCTATTTCTTTGTCCTAATGTAATCTAGTCGATCTATCTCCCTCTCTCTATCCCCTGTGTCTTCATCTGGCTATCCTTCTATCTGCATATCTTTCCTACGAATTTATCTGCGCATCTCTATGCATGAATCACTCCACGAACCTATCTATGCATCTGTCCATCTACCTACCCATCGTTCTGGCTATCTTTCTCTTCTACCCATCGATGTCATTTCCACATACCTGTCCCTGTCCATCTACATTTATTCGATCTAGCATCTACCCAAAGTACTCTATCCCATCCGTCTATCCACCTATCTATCTACTTATCTCTTTAACTATCTATCTATCTACCTATCTCTCCTATCTATCTAAATCTCTATCAAAATATCTATCACGTCTATCGATCCATCTGTCGATTGTTCTATCTGTCTGTCTGTCTATTTATCTTATGATCTATCTTTCCGTTAAAGCCCGTTCAGTGCGTGGAGCCCGTCATGTCCGTCGAGCCCGTTAAGTTGAGCTTGTAACACATGCGAGGCAAGTTGAGCGGCCGCTTCTCCAAGTTTGAGAACACCAAAATGGTGCCATGTTTGGGGAAAACAACGCGCTGTATTTTTTTTTTAATCAGCCCCTTGCTTTTCATCGAGTGCATAAGGATCCATCTAGAAACAGCTCCAGGCCGAATTCGGGCTTGAGCGAACACATTCATGACTGTTTGATGGAATTACTGCGTATGATGTTGATGGAAAAAACGACTGCATAAGCCAGCGTGGGGTGGGGGGGTTCTCAAACTTAGGAACCCCTTCAGGTGCTTGGTGTCCTGTTGGTTTTCCCTTATAATTCAAGAAGGGGACCCCCAGTTCACCCGGGCCCAGTTTTTGGCAAAGACTTAAACCACGAAGTTGCCTGGGGAAATCACCCACAGCTTCCCGCAGGGGGCAGGTTGGAAAGGAGGGTAAAGTGGCTCAACATGTAATTAGACTTTGGGAAGCTTGGAGGCAAAACCCGTTTTCTGGTTGGCGTCTGCCTTTTCGAGAACCCCCCGGTTGCATAGCAACGGTGAGTGGGATGCCCGCACACCTTTTCCCCTGGATTTTTGTGAGCACAAGGCAAGTAGATGTCGCTCAAGGTCGTGCCATTCAAACAAAACATGTGTATATGGTTTCAGATGATTAGATGATGTTCCCGAGAATCTAGATTCCCAAGCCGATGTGTGGGTTGCCGAAGCATTATTGCATTCCTGCCTTCGCCATCTCGCTCTTCGGCCTCGCCGCCGTGGTCTTCGCCCTCGCCGGGTCCTTTCAGAGCAACGATGATCTTCTTGCTTTTTTTTTGGGGGGGGGCGGGGGGGGCGGGGGGGGCGCCAAATGTGGCTCTCCTTAGGGTGTTCCTCTAAAACCATAAAGAAAGGGGGTACCCCACCCTCCCAGCGCGACAAAACGCAAAGTGAGCTCCAATCAAGACCAGTGGTTCCCTAGCCATCCTCTGAACCCCAAAACATCCACCCCCGCACCCTCTTCCTCTCCTGCACCCTCTTCACCTCCTTCTCCATCTTGGGCATCTAAAGCCTCCTGGTTGTCCCCAGCGTCATCGCCCCAGTCCCCTTCTGCTGGCGCTTCCTGCCACGATTGTGCATGGATTCCCTTCATTTCAAGCCTGAGTTGACAAGTCAGGAATGTCCAAACCTGTCGTCCTTTGCTACAATGATGAGAAAGGAAACTACTGTGACAACATCCACTTCGCACCAGTCGGTAGATGATGTATGCCAGCACTAAATAAAACAAGGGTCTCATCCATCACGAGTGGTGCAGGATTTTGGCTTATCCAAAGTATTGCGGTAGAGATGATAGCCTAATCATTGTGAAAATAAGCCAGGCAAGCCCAGTAAGTGTTCTGCCATGACCACTTGCGATACCTAGTGAGGTTGCCGGCCTTGGCAATCCGAGCCAAGCCATCCGCCAAGACCTTTTCTGACAATATGCAGAAAAGTTGTCAGGTAGGCGTTTACATGTGGCAGGGCAGAACTGCAGAGCTTTACGGTTTTGATCCATTGGCCTTGGGCCACCCGGCATTTGTCAAATTGAGAGGCAAACAAAGGGGTCACACTTTCACTCCAAAGTCTTCCTCTGCTTTTGGGGGACCCAGAGATGCCAGAGGTGGTCACCTTTTCAAACCATGGACAAAAACCGGAGAACCAAAAGGTCAGATCCCGTCGATTCGCTGCGGACCACGCTTACGTCCTTTTACGTCTTGCAAGAGCAGTTCAGGGGCCTGGGGCCTCGAAGTTCGTTGAAATGGTTCCCGTTCAGTGAGGATCCCGAACAGGCTTGCCAAGTCCCCAAGCACAGACATGGCAAACGTCTGAGACACCAGTAGCTCACCAGCCCGCAAAGGGATCTTACTGACTTTGTGAATAATTTAAGAGGGTTTTGTGAATGGGCCTAGGGGACCCCCTAAATGACAAGGGATTGTGTATCTGGGTCGTTCCGTCAGGCTGAGGTCCGCAACCCCCCAGTAGGCAAGGTCGCGATTTCATCAGAAACTTTAGGGTCAGCCAAGTGATCTTGTACGCCAAAGCCTTTGGACGACTTGCTTTTGGATAGAACCTAGTTGTTGGCTAATGGGCGACCGGCAAAAAGAAGTTCACCACCAAGCACAAATCAAGGTGTTTTTTTCTACACTCCTCAGACAAAAAAACGAGCATCGTTCTTTTGGGCGTTGATCTTCAAGGGCAATTCTCTCAAACGAAAGGAAGAAGGGCCTGGAATCCTTGGGTGCTGTAGATCCCCCAGCAAAAAGTCAAACTGTCTGGTTACAAGGAAAAATATGAGGGGAATCCAAAAAGTTGAAGTCCAAAGACCCAACCCAATAGCAATAGAGCATCCGTTGCATGGAATTCATCAAATCCCACCGGCCTCCGCCATGGCTTCGGCTTCCCAAAAAGGGCCGCGACGCTGCGGCTTGGGCCGGAGTCAGGGGCCCCGTCGTCCGCGACCCAAACGGTCAGTGGCGGGGAGGCGAGATTTTCACGTCTCGGAGTGGTTTGCGACAATCCTCTGATGAAGTTCCGGGAGGGTAAGCCCCCTTTGCAGGGATCTAGAAAAATCGTCCATTTGCTTACGTTTCCTGGAAGAAAATCAGATATCTCCTGTTGAAACCACATATTACGAAACGGAAATGGAAATTTGCCATGCTGAGTGCCCCAACACAAAGGTACTGAGAACCTCTCCTCAGCCTCCTGATCAATTTTGCCCCACTCCGGAAATTCCTACAAGCCCCCCCCACTTTTTCGAGAATGGGATTGCGGGGCACCTGAAAAAAACGAAGAACTGTCACGAACTTCTGGCCTCATTATTTTACCATGACCAAAGTCACCCCCTAAGTGGTAGGTTAAGGGAAACAACCCCATTTTCTGACTTTGATAACCCCCCAGAAACCGTCAAAACAATGACCCCAGAACTTGGCAGCTGGGTACTGGCCATCCGTCGGGCCCCGGGTTTCCGCGCCCGCCAGCCGGTCTTGGGCGGAGCAAAGCCTGCTGCTGCGTGAGCGCCCCCTGGCCATTGGAAACGACACCAAAGGAGGAACCTCAAAAGGCCGCCCCCCCCCCAAAAAAAATAAAAATAAAAATAAAGAACAAGAAAAGAAGAGAGGTTCGCCACATGGCCATGGTTGAACCATGGTGTCCCTCTATCTATGTGGAAAAGTTGCATCTTTGTATAAATGAAAAAAATCTTAGCTAGGTCCTCCAGTAGTAGAGAGGTTGATAAGGGTGCCAACTTTTTTCTGTCGCCGATTTTAGTAGGGGAACGCTCCCCCAACAAAGAAACGGTAAAAGGTGGCACCTAGCTGGGGGACCTAGTTAGGTACAGGGCACCCTGACTCACTACGCAACGGGGTAGGGGCATGGAGCTAGACATGGATCCCACCAGATAGGCCCTCGAACGCCTGATCACTCGGCCTTTTTGCCTCTCCAAACAAGAAAAATGGATGTCAGGCCCCTCTCAATCTGTTCAATGAACCAAAAAGCCTTGGATAGTTCCGTCATCCCAGGTCCAGCCGACGAAAGGAGCACCCGACCCATCCTTGGCCATAGGCGTAGGCGTGGTCATCGCCTCGAAAGGCGAAGCCCCAATAAAGGGACCCCCCCGCTTTTGGTTCCCCCGAAGGGGGGTAAAAAGGGGGGTGTAATAAAATGATTTAGGTGGCTTCTCGGTTGCGAGATCTGCTCCCCTGCTAAAAGTTGACAACTTTTAGTGGTTTGATGGAAAACCTATTAATTAGCAAAAAAAAGAAGTCCTAACATCCCTTGGCAAAATGCACCAAAGGCTTGGCCATAAGGGGAAACCAACGTCATCTGTGGCGCACTCTTGGCAGCTTTGGGGCTGGAATCTTGCTGTCCTTTGCAAAGATGGATGAACCTCAAAGCTGTCAATGAAGCCATAAACCCCTCTGGACAGGTTTGAAAGGAATCTTCCTGGAAGGCTTCGGATTGCATCTTTCTGGGAGGCACGGTGGATGCCAACCCAATATTGCAATTGCAAGTAGGGGAAGAGGTTGAACCCTGCAATTTGCGGCTTTGTTTTACAATGATCTGATGGGCCAGCATGGCTGGCGTACTTGCACAAAATAGCGTCCACCGTGCAATAGGCTTTTTGGTGGATTTTCGCACAACGCCACCCGTGGGGTAAGGCCCAAAAGCTGCGCGCCGCCGACTTTTGCCCCTGTCACCTTACCAGCGGCGTGGCGAGATCGCTCTGCCGGAACTTCTGGACCATTTTGGCCCGCTCCTTGCAGGAGGCGTCAGCCAATTTGGAGTGAAGCACCAAACTGGTTCCCTTGCCTTTTTGGGCATAAGTGTGGCATCTCCAAGGCGAACTGAGCACTTGTTGAGGAGGTCCATGCATTTGTTCCAAAGTTTCTGGTGAAAGGAGAATGAAAGGCAACCTGCTTGAATGTCCACTCTATTGAGCCATGGCCATTCTGAAAGGACGGGTGGCTATCTTGTTCGCACAGCAGCCAGGGGAACCTGCCAAAGCAGTCGGTTTGAGCAAAACTTGCTTTCAGTAGAAAGGGGACCGCGCGCAATGGAACAAACGCATCGCTGTCCTGTTGCCTTGGTACATGAAAGGAAAGGACCCCTTCACGCTTGCGCACCCTGGTATTGACTCTGACAAGGTTGAGCATTTGACGTGCACGGGCCATCCTTTACCGTTGGGTAGCGGGTAGCACGCAGTTCCGGTAGCCACCTCTGCGACAAGCTGAAACCGACATCACCAGCCGAGGGGGCTCGAAGCTCACAACTTTGGACTAAGCGGATTCCATTCCTCTTGGGTCGAGTCATCCGCTTTTCCCAAAAGCACTGGAGATTGTGCTTAGCCCGGCTTTGGCTATATGGAAAGTGAACGGAGCCCAAAAGGCCATACGGGGCACTGGTCCACTGGTTCTGCGCAAGTTCCCCAACTGATTTCTCTTGATTGGTCACTGGCAGACGGCGGACTGACAATTCAAACGAAAGCCTGGAAAAGGGCACCCCCAAAGCGGGACTTTTCTTCATGCGCGAGTTGCGTTGCCACTTCCTCCTCCTCGAGTTCGTGATAGTTTGCCCATATGGATTTTCACCCCGCCTCCCCCATGACACCTGCACCAAGGGGTGTGTCCTTTCTTTGACAGAACTAGTTTTGGGTTACTTTTAGAGGGGCACCAAAGGGAAACCAATGAATGGCATGCTCCCTTAAAACAAACCTATAGCCTTCCTCAATCTGAATTTAGGAATCTCCAAGCGAATAAGTGATCAAATTCCACGAGGGGGGGGTATGTTCAGGTGGGTTGTTTGGAGTCGTGGAGGTCAACCCAAAAAATAATAATACAGAAATTAGGGACGTCTATGCCCCTTTGTTCGCCTCCACATCTCTTGAAGGGACCTACTTGCAATGGACACCCTGTAAAGTCGGAGCGGGTCCTTTTTTCATTTGCCTCCCATAAGTGATACTGTGGATGGACGAAATCCTGGACCAGATTGGAACCATGAGAAACCCATTGCTGGTTGGCATTTGCAGGGGCATCATCCTTCCAGGCTCTTAGGTGGTGCGAAATGGATTTCGACCATCCATAAGTCGGGTCCAAGGGTGTTGAACAATGAGGGCCCTTCGCCGTGTTCCTCGTTCATCTGCACCACGGTGTTCATGAGCCGGGCGTTCTCCGCTCGGTAGCTATTCCTTGCACCGGTCAGGTTTGCTTGTCTGTTCCTAGCTAAGACCTTGGAGAAATGGAACCAAAACCAAAGCTAGGTCCATTTGTTTGTCCTTGTGTTCCAGCCACCAGCGTTCCATTGTGGACACTTGTTTCTTGACCCAGGCATTTCAATGAAGACCCCTAGAACCCCTTTCATTGCCTTTTCCTGATTGTCATTTGGTTTTCCCCGGGCAAATGGCAGAACGGCCCCCGCCTTGCAGGAAAAGGGGAGGCTCTAGGATGCGCCCGGGCATGTCTCTTTTGTCGGGAAGCGCCGCTTCTCACGATGTTGATCGGAAACAAAGAGCTATGAAATATATGTGGGTGTCTTTTTTGAGGGTACACCTTTAGAAGGAAACCCAAAAGGGACCAACATTTTGGTTGTCCTCTAACCCCTCCCCACATCTAACTTGCAAAGGAGCAAGGCACAACATGGGTGTCAAATTTGTTGAACTCCCAGCCTGTGGTGTGTGAGCAAAACTGCTCATTGCAGCCCGACCCACTGAAAACGCTCAGCAACACGGAGAAGTATGTATCTATCTATCTATCTATCTATCTATCTATCTATCTATCTATCTCTCTCTCTCTCTCTCTGCCTGCCTGTCTCTGTCTCTGTCTCTGCCTCTGTCTCTGTCTCTGTCTCTGTCTCCGTCTCTGTCTGTTCTGTCTGTCTCTGTCGGTCTGTGTGTCTGTCCGTCTGCCTGTCTGTCTATCTGCCTATATGTCTCTCTATCTCTTCATCGATCTATCTGGCTGTCCGCCTGTCTGTCTAATATAGAAACATATATTTACAAACATGCACATATATCTCTATCCATCTATCAATCCATCTATCAATCCATCTATCTGGCCATTTGTCTATCCATCTATGCCTATGACAGTCTATGTTCGCGTCTGGCACCACACGCCCGCATTCATGCATGAATGCTTGCCTAGATGCATAGATACATTTGCACATTGACACATACGGACACACACGCACACACACATATATATATATATATATATATTATACATACGTCGTAGACGCTGGATGCATAGACGCGCAGGTATAAATACACAAGTGTTCATAGATCTAGGTAAATGGACCGAATGCAAATGCAATCCAAGCTATCCCCTACCTGGTAGCCTTAGGGCGGTCTCTAAGTCCCAATAACCTAGTCTTCCCCACAAGAAAACTGGAGATCTCCGAACCCCGGTGCGGTGGCCATGGTGAAACAAACATCCTTTTGGTGGTAGCTCATGCTCAAGGCTAACATGCAAAGGGAGAGGCGACCCGAATGTGACAAGTGAAAGCGAGTTCCGCCGTCCCGCCTCAGCCATAGCGCGGCCAGCGCCAGCGCGAAAAGGAGCAGCAGTCCGAAGAAGGTGCCGAAAACCTCTTGAAGCCTCTGCGCAACTACGCCCAGAAACCCAGCGGCGCAATCCAAACCGTGCCTATGACCAGATATACCACCAGACGGGGGGCTCGTCTATTTTCTACTGGCACCCTTTGACAGGGAAAAAACACAGATTTTGGGGGCCCCCTATGGAAACCAATCCCCCCCCCCCTGCAACAGAAAGCTGCGCAAGATCCAGAATGTGCCAGAAGCAAACTTGCAAACGAAGCAGTCCGCTCAAAACCAAGTGGATAGCCGTAGCACTTGCACCCCCTTGCCATTGACCACCAAAAAAAAAGAAACGTAAGAGGAACACCCTCCAGGTTTGCAGAGTGGTGGGTGGGTAAGTTCGCGCTTCGTTGAGCAATGCTTCCAACGGGTTGCCAGCCACATGCCAGCCAGTCACAAAGCCTTGCTGATCTAAGACATGCGCCAAGGCCTCGGAATCCTGCGTCGCCAAAACCCCTGCCCAAAATGAGTTCCTGACATAGACCTTGAGTCGTGGTTCAGACCGACCTGCTGAATTGTCTGGCCGAGGAGGCGTTCAATCGAAGAAAAAAACCTGCCAACGCAAACACAATCGCGGGTTTGCCGACTCAAGACGAGCCCTTGAACAAAAAAACACACAATGGAAATGCAGAAACCCGTTTCCAACAGGACAGGGCCGTGTTTCAAATGGCCGGGTGCCACCCGACCATTTGACGGAAAGTGTTTACTGCAGCCCGGCGGCTGCTCGTCACTCAAGGCCGCATCTCTCTCGTCTTCGGCCTTTCGTCTTTGGTTCGCAGTCGGCTCAGTAGGCTCAGTCGCCCCCGTGGGGAAGTGGAAACAAGGGTGATCACCCTTGCGGGCCAAAACAGGGCAACGAAAAACAAGGCCATTTCAGGTTGAATAGCGTTGGACAGCTTGGGGATGGACGTCCCAAAGTGGATGGCTTCCCTTTGGTGTGTTCCTTTCTGGCTGGTTCTCCGTAGGGAATCGTCCGGGATGTTCAGGCGGTTTTGGAAATGAACCGGAAGAGGATCCCCTTCAAGCAAACCACAAGGGATCGTTCAAAGATTCCAGTCCATGCCCTGGGAGCTAGAAAGTGGGGCAGTCAAAACCCAACACCACATCTTATATACTTGATTCAGCTCCAGCTACCGTCTCATCCGGGCAAGTTGCTTTCTCGCGAGGCGAAGACAAGAAAGGCAACCGAGTACGGGATCACTTTACCCGCAGGTGAGCAGTCCATCCATCCATCCATCCATCCATCCATCCCTCCCTCCCTCCCTCCCTCCCTCCCTCCCTCCCTCCCTCCATCCATCCATCCATCCATCCATCCATCCATCCATCCATCCCAGCCAGTCCCTGGCTCCCTGCCACCATTTGGTAGAAAACTTAACCTAGACGGGTGACAATTGGCACAATCTTGCCTTTTGCCAAACTCGCCAGTTTCTTTTGGGACAACTGTTGGGACCAAAAACAACTCCAATACTAAAGGGCAATGCCCGTTTGCGATTGGATTGTACGATGCCCTCCTTGCAACCAGAATGTTGAATTGTGTCATCTATGTCTGTCTTAGTCAACCAACCAACCAAATCCAACAAAATCCTGGATATTTGTATGGCCCCCCAAACTGACCTGGCCACACTTGGCCATGGGTCCCAATTCAAACCGTACCCCCAATAAACATCCCAATCCCCACTAAAATCCCGACTAAAATGGGTGGTGAATTCACCTACGAGAATGGGATCCCAAAACGGTTTTTTGACCACCACCGCCACCTCATGAGCGCCCGCCGCTCCCGCCCCTCCCTCCACCTCACACTCCGCTCGCACGCCCATCGCACGCCTGGTGCGCCTCGGCCCTCGCCTCCTTTGCCTCCGCCTCCGCCTGGGCGAGCTCAGCCCTCAGCCCCTTGAGCTCCGAGGCCTGGCGCAACGACCCCGACAACCCCAAGCACAGCGAGCTATCACCTGGCCCGGGAAGTATTCTTGAAAAGCAGGAAGGGAGGGACATGGAAAACCACTCGCCAAGGAGACCCTCGTGAGAAGCTTTCGAAAACCATTCGCCAATTCTTGCCTGAGTTCTTTTTCCGGCGTTTGACTTTTTGTTTGGAGAGGATTGGAGAAAACTGGGATTGGTGTTCGCAGATTTATGGCATGCGGGAAATCTGGAGAAGAGGTTGGGTTGCCATGGCCCCAAACCTAAGGCTTTTAAGGCTTTAGGTTGCCAATGGAAAGACACAAAGGCAGGCTAAAGACACACCGGAGGGAAAAATAGCAAACAAACGAACGCCACACGTTCTCTGGAAACCCACCAAGTTTTCAACCTACACAGGAAACCCCTACATCCCAGCCAAAAAGCAACAAGGACATCGAAAGCCATCGCCCCAGAGCTCAACGCGGGCCTCCGTAGATCCGCCTAAGTTGCATGGACTCATCCCGCCGGTCCAAACCTCCTATGGCTCAAGGTTCACAATGGGAAAAAACGCGTTTTCTTCCTTTTGCTTAAGTGCTCTGGAAGCAAGTCATATTTCCAGTGGCGATAGCTTCCCTTTGAAGCCATCCAGCGGACATAGATCGACATCTTAAGCAAATGGAAGTTTTGGCACTGGGGACGCTATGAAGGCCTTAATCATTTGAATGAGGCACCGGCAGGGTTGAGAAAAGACAAGCAATGCAACCCTTCCAGAAAACCCGACAAGATTGTTGAAATGATTCCCAACCCATGGGAAGGTTTGAACAGACCACATTAAAACTATGAGAAAATACCTGAACAGAAGCTTCTGATATGACCATAGTAGTCTTTGGGCCGGACTACCACAAACCCGCTGCCTTCAGGCGCAACATCGCAATGCATTCACCCACGAGCGCATGTTTTATTTGGAGACGGTCATGGCCTACTGGGCTTGTTTGGGGGGGTGGGGTGAACGATGGTGACGCCCACTTTGGTTGGCGGTTTGAAGGGATCTATGTCCTTGGGAGTCCATTCTTTTGAAAAAAAGGCCCCCTTAAACTAAACCAAGGAACAGCCAAAGAACACCAGGCCTAACACCCCAACTGATGTGAAACGAGACCCTTCCATATATGTTCAATTGTAAGGGGTGCGCGCATGTCTTGCGACGGGTCTCCAGCGCAGGCGCTCACCAGAAGCGAAGCGAAGACCAGCAGCGAGCGGCAAGCCATGCGCCTGGCAAGCCGGTCCTGTTGGGGAAGCTAAGTTGCCAGAAACCAGTACCCCTCAACTTGTTTTGGGCAGGATTTTTCCGGTATGCAGCTAGTCGACTTGTTCCTGGGGTGGTTGAGGCCCCAACTTGCCTGCTTCTTCAATGTCCAAAGCCCCCTTGGTACGGTAACCAAGCGCTTTCTTTAAACGGGGGCGGTTGAATCATAGAAGGGGGGGGATCAAAGTTTTGTTCGGGCGGTAGATCCATCATACAAACAGTGACTCAGAATTAGACCAGCACACTTCTCATCGGCCTCGTTGTCGCGCCGCACCGCGCAACATCTCAAATGGCTCGCTTGAGCCAGCTGTCGGTCCATCTGCGCGTTGCTTTGGTGTAGGGGCGCCCAAGACCCGGGGACGCTTAAACCTAGGCATGCACGATGCCCGCAAAGGGAGCTTAGTCTACATGGAGGAATCCAGAAATGGAGTTTTCACCATTGAGCCAGGCCGGCAAGCCGGCCAAGCATTGAGCCAGGCCGGCAAGCCGACCAAACAATAATGGTCATCATAGCAGCCGGAAAAAATGTTGAGGTGCTGACTGTTGAACGCTAATTTTGGAGGAACACACAAGCTCAAAATACGCACGCACATGCAAACGCAAGATTTCAGGAGTCCAACATGTGTCCAACTACTTGCATGGCCATTTGCCACGCAGCTTCCCAGGAACTTCCCATCCCCGAACAGAGCGAAACGTTTCAAGCGCATTCTGAGGACAAGGCCAATCTTATCCGAGAACCACCAGCATGGCCTCAGATGGCGCGCATTGTGCGGACTGTCTTCTTTTTGCAAGCTCCCACATGCCGGGAATGGAACCCCGTGCAGCACAACATCCTGAGTGGACTGGCCAAAATGAAGTCCAAGCTGTGTGTGTGTTGGCCGCGTAAAAAGCCTTCCCAAACTTTAAACGGAAGCGAGACTCATGTTGACCAGAAAGTGATGAATTGCCAGCAGGGGGAAGCCCCGCTGGGAAACCAACTACAGCCTTGTGAATCCGGGGTTCCCATTTGCCTTTCAGATCTTGCGAGCCTCATTGAGTGGCATCTCGAGCCAGACGTTGATTTTCGGAGACGCTAATCTTTTTAACTAACCGCTGCTAGTAACAATTCGGGCAGACTCATAGCGGGTGTCTCCACAGTTCACACTCCCGAACAACCCAACTGGAGGTTTCTCCTCCCGGTATCCCCTAAAAGGCACAACCTGGAAGTACCCCAGGTCCACTTCAGAGCCTCATATCTGGGGGCCCGGTGCGGCGCACGGGTTGGCTTCAATTCAAGGGCTCGTGGAGGTCCCCCCCCCATTCTGAGAGAGACGCATGGAGCTTAACAAAGCAAGTTGGTGGCTTTTGCGCTGGCCCACTAAACACGGACCGTGGAATCACTGGGCATGGCTTTACTTGTGAAAGCCAAGAAGGAAGACCCCCCTTCTCGGGTCGCCTAGTAGGAACCACAGATGCCAACTCTATACTGCAAGGGAACATTCAGAAAACCGCTTATTGCTCACCGCAATTTTCTCTCAGATTTCGTGGTTGTCCGTGCGCTTGCCCCGGCTTGCCGCGGAGCGGGGCAAGCGCTGTCCCGGGCTCCCAGCGAGCTGTTGCGATCAGACCAGTTGTACAGGAAGACCTCGCGGCACGGGCCCCTTTCTCATGCTGAGACGGGGTACGTCCACCAAAAGCTTGGAAGCCCGGAAAACGCGGGGCTTTCCTCTTGGTTTTCCTTTGAAACCACCCCGAACAGGTGGTCCATGAAAAAAAAAGCTATTGTTGAGACAAACTCCTTGTGGTTTCCCATTTAAGGGGGGGAAGGCTGGTTGAAACAAATTCGGCCACCCAAATCAGCACCAAAGGTGCAGCTTCGGCAAAAAACACACGGGCACGTTGGAGCCCATGACTATGAGCCGACGTGGAAAGCAAAAAGAAAAACAACACAATCAGAAACCTTCATGTGCTGAAGTCCACGGAACAAAGAAGGAACACGCCCAGCTCCATTTGCATCCGCGGCGCATGATGGGCGCCCGTCTTGCGGAAGCAGTGTTGGCCTAAAGCTCGCGGAAGCGAGTTGGAAGAGGTACATGCCCTATACCCTTCCACCAATTCGCATGACTGGGGCCCGGTCCCTTGAACAAGAAAATGAGGTACGGGCTACCCTCCCACCAAGTAACTCTCCTTACACGGAAAAATGTTCTTCCAGGACCCATATTGCAACTAAAGCGGCCATGCTCAATCACATACCCATGGCACATTACGGTCAATTGAGCCTCGCCGAGGGAATTCTCAGGTGGGTTCTTTGGAGGCGTGGTATGTGGGGAGTACTGGCAATATGACGGTTCAAGCAAGCTGAAAAATACCACATCCACACCGCCAAGCGATTATACCTGAACATGCCCTTGCCTTAGCCAGGATCACTAGCCATGTCGGCTATGTACCTTGTCATCAGTAGATGGGCTATGAAGATTGGGGCTTTACCCAAGCCCAGTACGCCTCCACATAGCACAAGTGATACCGGCAACAGTTCGGCGATGGCTCGTGAAGCTTCATGCATCCGGCCTGCAAAGATGCGGTGCATTGGTGGCCGGCGCCCGGCAATCTCTGAAACACATGTGGAGTTACGCAAATCGCTCCAGTGATCCTTCTCAAGTGGATCGTCCAAACCCTCCCGTCCACGTACATTGTCTGCCATTTGCTTAAGTCCGCTGGAAAACAAAATCCAGTGGTGATAGATTCCCTTTAAAACCAACAAGGGAAAATAAAACATATTCTTAACGAATTGGAAGTTGTTGGAAAGAGGGTAGTCCACACAGACCCTTCAAGGGATGAGCTCGCTCGCCCATCTGATCTCGCGCTCTGAGCGACTGGCCCTTGATGCCTCGGAAGGAGTGGTTTAGGCGCTGACATGGGACGCATCAATGGGCAGGCCGTTGGGCAGCCAAGCAACCGAGGTTTAACTGGGCTTTCCGCAGATCCCCTGCTAAAAGCTTAACTTTGAATGGACACCGCCACTAAACAAAAACCCAAGGGCATGGCTGCGAACAGCTTTTTTTAAGGGACCTGCTTAGGGTTCGCTGATTTGGTTGGGGTAATCGGTCATGTTGACCCGGATCATTAAATTAGGGGGGGGAGGGGGGGGGGGGGCGGGTCTCCCCTCCAAAAGTAATCTGCTTCCCCAGTAAGCCCAGGGACGCATTCCTGGTGTCAACATTAGGGTGCGTACTGTCACTTCCCCAACCCCCTGCTGGCATATGTGATTTGGGCCAATGCACTGAGACGGGTGCACACACACAGGGAGGCCTGGTAAGTCACCGAGTCACCAACTGACAATTTCCTTTGCCGGCCCCCGCTAAGAATGAATACAAGCCCAAAGGCCAACAGTGCAAGATGAGATCCGTGCAATACTACCCATCCAAAGCACCTGTTGCCAGATCTGAAGTGACCTCATTTGGGCCATGGTCATCATTCAGCACACGTCCCCAACAAAGATGGACTTGGTGAGTTTGAGTGAAGCGGCTAAAGTACAAATAGTTTCCTCCTATACCCAGTGCTAAATATGGTTTTAGAGTACCTAACCGCCCCATGCTAACTGAGGGCCTCCCGCACGGTCACCCTTTTTGCCCGAAGGGAGGGTCCCCAAATGAAGTTTTTCTACCCGTTCGGGCTCCATGTCGAAGGCATTTGTTCACCTAAGCAAGCGGCGTGCAAGGCTTGACACAAGTCGTCAAAGAAAAAGGGGTGCCCCATGTCAAACTCCCCCACATTTGCTCATGGTGATTTGGTGAGCGTAACGTCTCCTTCATAGTAGATGACGGCAAATGTTGGCGGTGCATTCTGTTTCGTGTCTTCATTGAGGGTGCACCTTTGGGGAATTCCATTAAACAAAAAAAACACATAAACCAAGGAAAACCACCAGTTGGGGGTCATTTTTCCTTGCACGCATGCACAGTTTTGAGGTGTTCTACATCCCCTTTCGGGACCGAATTGGGACAAAACATGGGCCAAAATGGGAAAACCACCAGGTCAGAAGGCGAATTCGCGTTGATCTGAGCCGGAAATCAGTGAAATCAAAAGAACGACCCACCAAAGAGGACACACCCAAAGGGGCACCCAGCTTGCTTCACCCGGAGCGCTGGAAGCACGTTTTGATCCCTTGCGAGCACCTCGCTCCCGCGCTGAGGAGACCGCTGCCGCGGGCGAGGTACAGGCCCGACAGCACCTCTGCCTATGCCCGGCTTCCGGGGCCTTTGCTTTCCCCTTGAAGTCCCCTTGAAGTCTTTAGTGGAAATACTGCTGAGGGCAGACTCCATGTGGTTATTGTTTGTGTTAATGCTTGAACTGTGCTTGTTACTTGTGTGATTTGAACTTTGAGCAATCTGTGTGGTATTTTGGACCATGACCCCTGGAGACATGCCTCAAACGGAGCCTTTTGCCATCCTTTCCAACAAGCAGCCAGTTTTTGGCCGATTCAGCCTTTGAGGCAAAATACATGGCACCTTTTCCCTCGTTTTTTTTTACCCCGCTACTGTCCCCTTGTTGCTCGCAGAGCGCTTGTTTTTTGTTTGGTATTTGTTTCTGGCATTCTTGCACAAGATCCGTTTGCTATTGTGAGGATTGGGGCGGTTTCTCAACAGGTCAATAGCATCGAGTTTCCTCAGGGTTGGGCCAACCGCTTGTTTTAAGATGTTAAATGCACAAACTATGGTAAGCGCCCCGGTTTGGAAAATTCCTTGACCCAAGCTCCGGTTCCAAGCGCTGCAAGCGCTGTGGCCCGCGCCCCCTCCACCTTCACGCCCTCTTCTGGCCCAAAGTCCACTCGCACCTCAGAGCGTCAAGGGGCCTAAACCAATCGAAGGCAATTCCAGACTGGGCGCTTCTTTCACTGATTTTGCACCCCCCCCCTGAGCAAGAGGTCGATGACCTGCCGCAGGACGAAAACGGAAAGGGCAATTTGTCTTCAACAGACCCAATCGCCATGCGGGGTCTGGCACAAATTCAGAATCCATCCCATTTTGGTTTCCCCTGGAAGCAACAAGGGCCCAATCTCCTTTAAGGGCCCTCGCTGGGCGTTCCAGAGACCGGAGCCAATGACGTCCAAGGTCGGTGCTGCCAAAGTATACTCGGAGGCCATGGCTCGGGGGAGAAAAAGTGTGCGAAAGAGATTGGGTATGAATTTCAACAAGGGACCCTTTGGTGGACATTTAAATTGCGGATTCATATCCACCAATCACTGTTGAGGTGGTTTGTTATGAACCTAGCCTCGAGTAGACAGGCTAGACCAAGGGTACCAACTTTGTTCTGTAGCCTATTTTAGTATGGGAACCCTCCCCCTAAAAAAGGGTACAAGGGCACTACTGGGGGACCTAGCTTAGGTGGGGTTTCATCTCCACCAATCACTTTTGAGGTGGTTCCTGATTAAAATTGATGGCCAGATCTAAACAGTCCCTCAAATGGTGCCAAGCACAGCATGGCGACAGTGTGCATGGGTGTAAGCTCTATGCAACTCTTGCGGTTGGCTTTCGGAGACACACATGCATGGCTGTACTCTGACTTTGGGTTTGAAGAAATCCCCCAAATGCCCTGTGGACCGCAGACCAGGTGTTGGTCTTTATTAATGTCCTTCAAGTTCATTCAGTTGACTGCTGCTGCGCCTAAAATGCATCCTCTAATCTCGGCTTTGAAAGGCAAAAGGCGGCTCGCCAACTGCAAACGGAGACACGGCAGCCATCCGACTCCCGGACTTCTTGCAGGCCCTTAAACCCGTGAGCTCATGTGCCCCAAAAGGGTAGAGGGATGAAAAGCTCCTTTTGCCAGTTGCCCAGTAACCCTGCCACCAAAAAAAGCACTTGACTTCTTTGGTTGGTGGATCCCAGTCTTCGTTCGGAAGTCACCAAACTAAAAGCGAATTTAGGTGTTAACGAACAGCTGGGCTTTGAGTCCCCAGATTCCACGGGATGAGGAGCCACCCTGAATCCCTGATCCCCGCAGACCCGAGCGCGATATTTTTTCCGCACGGTGCCAAAACGGCGGCCCCTGCGGCCCTGGCCAGTGGCAGGGCTTCGGGTGGATGTCCGCATGGGCTGCAAGCTTCCCAGAGGCTCCAATTCGACTGATTGAGGGCCTTCAAAGCACCTGGCTTTGAGACCGGGTCCCAACCCCAAGGGTGTCTAATGGGCTCGGAAACCTTCCATTGAAAGCCGAAGCCAGGAGCCTCTGGGCAAGGATTCATGGGGTCCCAGGATTGATCCATCCCAGGTTGATGAATAGCGAGCAGATTTGGGGGTTTGAGGGGCATGTTTCCAATGGCACGTCCATGATTTTAAGACCATTTGGCTTGGGGTGATCCACAGCCCGGGTAGATGAAGGTTGGGATAAAAACCCAACCAAATGCAGCTCTGAATTCTCGACATTGAGTTGGGTAGACGCCAGGATCTGACTATGACTCTCGCGTTTTTGCTTGCTTCATGTCCAGCCACACAAGGCGCATCCAAACTGTACACAGGAGTGAGGCATCATAGTCTGACTGGAAGAAAAATATGACGAGATTGCGGGCGAAATGAGCTTCAAAGGAGGCTCCAAATTACAAACAACCAGAGGCGTGCTGTCGTTCCTTTTGTTTTGGAGGGGCGCAACATGTTGAACATCAACAGAGGGGATCCTTTTGCCATGGCTGTTGGAGAATCCGATTGAAGAGGCCATCTTTCTCGTGACACCCACGGGCTCACAGCTATGCATTCAAAAACGATCTGCTCTAGAAGATAACTTTCTCAATCAGCTGGTAACCAGGTGAGTGACTTTTTTGACTGGTCCTAGCTGGCATCTGTCAAAGGAACCTGTTCGAACTTTACAAGGCAAATTCAACTAGGACCGTGCAACAGGCCCAAAGCAAATCGTCGGGGAATGCTTAGGGGCAGACAAACCAAGCGATCTGAGCAACGATCAAAAGCACTTGCCCTTCGCAAATCAGGAGCTGACACCCTGCCTGTTCCGCGAGCCTACGCCTGGATTCGCGGCGCGGCCTCGCCGACCTGACGGATTGATCACATGCACCATGGTGTTTCTTTTCGAATCCACTTGAACCCAGAAATGCTGGGGTGGCCCCCCCCCCCGCCCAAACCCAAGCATAAGGAAAATCAGGATTTCCTGACTCCGCTCCATATGTAGCCTATACCCTAAGACAACCAATCCTTTTTGGAGACCCAGTCGTGGGGAAGACTCGCTTGTTGATTGGCCAGCTGGGGATGCTGAGGCAATACAGAGAGCCCTTTCGTCCTCTTCAACGAGAACCAACAGCCATGTTCAAAAAAAGGCTGGCCCAACCCTTCCGAGTTGCCCAGGAAGGCTGAAGCTTATTTCCGTTTTGGGGGAAATGAACCACTGGATTTACGCTTGGTCAGGCAGCCTTCCGTTTTGTGACTGCGTGTCTGTTGTTGTGTTGTGTTGTGTTGTGTTGTATGATGTTTTTTGAGGGGTCCTCACCTCACCTTGGTTCAAAAGGAAACCATGACGTGGCCTCTCTGTTTGAAGGTCCGGTCCCCCATTGCGGCACCAATAGCTAGGTGGCGAGTTTGAGGATGGAAGCCTCCGAAACATGTCAATGAGGCTTCTACTGCCAAATGTACCCAAAAGGGTACCATCAGGAACAGCAGCATAAGTCCTCCCCCCCCAATTACCTGTAAAAACAGTTGTGACCCCCTGCCATTCCAGCGTTTTCGGTTCTACCAGCAACTTAACGCATTTTGGGCCATCTTTCCGTTCTCAGAATGTCAAAAAACAGCTCATGCTCAGTTTCAAGATCTGACCAGTTGAAGCTCGGAACACCAAGCAGACCCGGGCCTCGATCTCCTCACAGGCGCACCAATGCCCAAAGAGTCGTTCCAAGATGGGCACCTGAGCATCTCGAGAGCTAGGGCAGTCCTAGCTCCATGTTTCTCGTTTTGATTAACAAGTGCCAATCTGAGGGTTGCTCCCGAAACGGCACAAGGGCAGAAGCGAAAAGATGCCAAGCTACTTCTCTCGGGTTTTGTCAGGGTCAGAGCAGCCCTAGATGCGGATCCACCGGTTGCACCCTTTCAGCACTCCATTGGCACTTTGGAAGAATAACTTGCAGGGATCTTGCAGGCTGGCCATCCAAATCGCGCGGAAAAAATAGAAAAATCCCTTCCCACTCCTTGGTTCAGGAAACTGATCCTATCAGCACACACCTCCGTTTGGTCTGCTTCAGTCTTCACCGGGCCCCCCATGGGGGGTGTGACATGTTCGGCATGCAAGCTTGTAACTCGTCTTTGAGACTTAGAAAGGTCAGCCCAAGGCCTTTCTTTTGTGATTTCCGTTGCCCCCCCCCCCACAAAAAAAGCAAAGAAAAGAGTGCCACCTCCCCCCCCCAAAAAAAAAACACCGCAAAGTGCATTACAGATCGGCATTTGTCTAAATAGTTCGCCAACCGATATGGCCATGGGTCAAAATCCCGTACCCCCAGTGAGCATCCCAATCCCCACTGAAATAGGTTCTAAAAAATGGGTGGTGAATTCACTTACCAACTAAAATGGGATCCCATTGGTTTTGACAACCACGGCCATATGTTTGTTTCACACCTCCCAAAAAAAGTGCCACCTCCAAAAACACCACCGCACACCTATGACCAAACACGGTGACACCACGTGGCGCCGAAGAAACTTCACGAAGTTTGGCCGAGGCTCGCCAGGGCCTTCCTGGCACACCTCCTCTGAGATGACGATCCTAACCGCAGGCGTGCAACGCCAATTCCAAGTCATGGAGCCCTGGGAGAGGGGGGGGGACCCCGCAAAGACAGAGGCCTGCGGTGCAAAACCACAACTGGATGTCGATGTGTGGGACGAGCGGATGTTGCGTTCCAGGAAACTATTCCGGATCTCACCAGCCCGAAGCCTGGGTCTCTACGCCGGAGCTCACCCTTTCGTTGAACCTTGTTACTTCAGATCTTGATGACCAAGACCTAGCAGTGTGACAACTCAAGCACCACCCCCCCCAACAAAAGCAACAAAAGCGCGCGTTGCCACTAGCGGGCAATATGTTGAACTGTTTGCAACGGCCCAGGACTCCAGCTATTGGCCAAGCCAATGCTTTTGGTAAATGTTGGTATCTGTTAGGTTCGCCCCTTCCGGATTTGGAGCGCATGTGCTCTACGCGTTGGTTCACGCTTGATCCACCGATGCTCGGCCAGGCCAGCTACGTACCGCATGAGTCCGCATGGTGAGACGATCTGCGAAAGAAAAGTGCACCTAAGATTGCCGCAGTCAAAGCCAAACCAATTGAACTTGACTGCCGTATTCGCGCACGCGAATACGAAACCGTGTGTTCAACGCACGCACCAGTTAAAAGAACACCCTGGCGAACCAAAGAATCGGTGTTGCCCGAGGCCCTGGCGTACCTTCTGAGGGTTTTCTCGGGCCCATTTTCTGTCCAGGGGATTGTTGAAAAGGAAAGTTCCGGAAGAGAACCCCCCTACCTAGCCAACTGTTCGTTGACTCCGGAATGCCAACAAGAATACCTTGTATGAATCAGGCGTGTTTCCCCCACAACTTTGCATGGGCATTCCAAACCTAGGCTTTCCCTGCAAAGAACACCTGCTGCTTCCTCTGGTTTTCGGGTATTCTTTGAAAGATTCGGATCCCTAGAAGGAGAACGGGTGAACATTCCCCTTGGAATTTGGTCAACGTTCAACTCTACACCTAGGATCTAGATGAGGGTCCCCAAAAGAAATCCATGCTCGAATGTGAGATGTGTCCAAACGTCCCGGCGAAGGAATCCGCAGCTCCCACCAAAAACGGCGCCTCTTGAAGGATGTCAACAAGTTCAAGGCCGAAGTCTTTGACCTGCGCTTGCTGTCAAGTGCATGCTGCGAATGGACAAAATCCTGCAGGACAATTCCTGCTGGTCTGCAGGTTTTTGTCCATCAGTAGCGACAGCGAAACAACACTAAATCAGGGTTAAGCCGAGCCGTTGCTTGTTTATGCTTGGTTAAACATGTTTAAACCACTATTCCTCAGGGGGCGCATGCTTCCAAAACAGATACGCAGGGCCCGAATTTGACCTTTCCGGGCAGAGAGGCCCTTACCAAAAAAAAACAACGGCCTCTTTTCCCTTTCGAAGCACCAACCGTTCTCCCAAACAAATTTCTGCACAACTCCTTGTTGGTGGTCATGTCTGCCTTGCTAGGAAGCCTTGTCTATGACAACCCCTGACAACCGCAATGGTGTTTTGACCATGGCGCACATGAAAGGCGGTGGTTTTCGATTGTGGTCGTGGCTGTCTCTGCGTAGGGGACTGGAAAGAAATCGGAAGGCTGAAAGTCGATTCGATTTGCTCGCAACTGAGTATGGGTTCATGTTGAGGTCGACCCGGCCACTGAAGAGATCCCCTGAGGGAAAAAAAATGAGCCCACAATAAGCACAACATTGAGCTCCACTTGTCGAGCTTTCCTCCCCAAGACCTTGACGATGTCTTCAGGTTGAAGGTTAGAAGGATCGTTGCCGGAGCGTGCACCCTCACCGAGTCCGGTGTTTGCCACAGAATGCTATACCTCGTCGGCAACTGTGTTTCCTTGTTTTCCTTGCTCGTGGTAATGCCTTTGTAAGGGCTGGTTTGTGAAGCTCGGCCATCGGGGGTCCTGGACGTGGGGGGGGCTGGACAGGCCAATCGAGCAGTTGACTAATCCTCCAGTGGCTCTTTGATTTGGCCATAGCGGTTTTTTATCTGGTGGAAACGTCGTAGTCTCCGATCACTAGCCAAACCTTCATTGATCCAGTGATCATGCAACGAGCCTGAGATCTATTCACCCCCGAAAACCAGGTAAGACACCTGGCTAAACCTGTCTGAAGGTCCCAAAAACTCCCTTCCCGGCCCCAAGTTCCCTGGCTTTGATCCCCCACAGGGTGGGGAAAACAATTGGCCCAGCACTCGTGTGGTTGGACAAAAACACCCACTTGACACCAGTAGGTAGGCGGTTGATGCCAGTATCCATAGGGTTTCATCCATCCCAACTGGTGCCTGGCTGCGCCGTCGCCCCACTCGGGGCCGCTGTGGGGCAGCCTTTGCGGAGGCCCGAACGAAGAAAAACGCTGCAGCCACGTTCAGCTGGGTGAAGTATGTAGAACCGTCACAAAGACATGATGGTACCTGACGAAAGTACTTGCAACTACGAGAGAAGTGCACATGGACATTCTCAGACATGCGGAAAATCACATGTTTTTGCGTGTGTTTATTTTTTTTTGGTGGGGGGATGTTGGGGGGGGGGTTAATTTACAAAAAAAAAAGCAGACGATAGGACTACATGGCGGCCAGTGGGCGCGGCAAGCGTTGCCGAGGCCAGGGCAAGTCTTTCAATGGCTTCTGCTCCACACCTCTCAAGAAGTTGTCACTGCCGGAAATGCATGCACAAAAGCTGTCCGTCTCCCTATCTCTCGCTCTCAATTCGTCTCTCTCCCTCCCTCTCCCTCCCTCCCTCCCTCCCTCTCTCTCTCTCTCTCTCTCTCTCTCTCTCTCTCTCTTTTTCTCTCTCCTTCTCTTTCTGTCTTTCTGTTTTTATGTCTTTCTTTCCTTAATAAAAACACTTTTCTGTATTTATGTCTTTCTTTCTATATATATATATTTATTTATGTATTTGTTGCTTTTATTTCTTTAGTTATGTCTGTATTTATTTATTTATGTCTTTGTTTCTGTTATTTCTTTATGTATGTCTTTCTTTCTTTATTTATTTATTTATTTTTGTATGTATTGATTTCTTCATTTATTTATTGATTTATGTATTTCTTTATTCATGTCTTTCTTTATTGCTTTTAGTTATTTATGTATTTCTTTCTTTCTTTATTTATTTATATATGTTCTTCTTTCTTTCTTTCTTTCTTTCTTTCTTTCTTTCTTTCTTTGCCACACTCTCTCTCTCGCTCTCTGTCCCTGCGCCTGTGAGTGTCAAAAACGTTACTTGCATTTACTTACACTCTCAAGTAGGCCTACATGGGTGTACGCAATCAAAAAACATACATGCCATGTATCATAAATATATATATATATATATATACAAATGGATTGCGCGTGCTTTTTCTTGAATCCACCCCCAAGGCTAGTGGAGCGATCCCTGCGCAAAATGCTCTTTTCTTTCTTGCAAAGCTCCATATTTCCCAAGCCGGAAATACCGGACCCAAGAAAAGGACCTTCATGGGCGAGCTCGTTACACGCTGGATGCCCCAAAGATTGCCTCGATGTTACCATACTTTATCATGACATTGTGGCTGAGTATGGTCTCACTTGCCCAGAAAGGGCCTAGAAATACAAGGTCAACCCTTTGGGACCTTGACTAAACAAGGAACAAAATGAAAAAGTCAACAGGTCAAAAGGTCAGCATTGGGCAACTGACTGGAGAACTTACTGGCAAAATTTAGGGCACCCACCGAACCTTTTGCGCGCAGCAAGGCAGCAGCTCGGGCCTTCCAAATCCAGGTCCACCTTTGCCCCCGACGATCCTCAGATCGCTCTGTGGCTTCTGCACCGCCTGCGTCAAAATAGGGATTTGGACCAATGGAGCCTCGAAAACCACGCCATGTTGCTTGGGAAACTTGACGCGGCCAACATGCCCAACGGGATCCTACGAGCAGACAAGGGGCCATGAGAACTTGTCATGGCCTTGCCTTTCAGCGCTTGCACCCAAACCGAATCTATGTATTCAGGTTCAGACCCATATCCAGGATCCCGGCGTATAGTCACCGTCGGGTAGGCATGGGAGATTTGCCAGCGACCTGGCCTGGGTGATTTGCCAACACCTTTTCCAACTTGGTGTCGTTGACTCTTTGGATGGGGGGAGCCTCCAGACAAACAGACTAGATTGGGCTAGACGAGGTTATATCAGGTTGTGATAGTTGGAAGAAACTAGTTCACCTATTGGGACAAGACCAAAAATATGCCACGCGGGGAAGAGCAAAAAGGGCATTTCAGATCGATTCGCTTTCGACTGAGTGCTCAAAGGATGTGTTTTTTTCTGTGCATGGTTGCGAAATCCATTTCGCACCACCCCAGAAACCCAACGGAATATCTGGAATGATTCGATTCCCCAACGCCACCAACAAGCCATGGTCTCAAGCCATGGCTTCCCATGGCTCCAAAGTGGTGCAACCGGGGCCGCGGCATCTCCAGCGTTGCCGCGGTGCCGCCCGTGTGCTTGAAGTACACATCTTGGTTGCAACCGCCGATTTGGTTGAAACACGCATCCCAGTAAACCGCGTTTGAGAAGCGCACAATTTCTCCCACTACCATACGTAGCACCTGTGGGACGGTGCCTGGAAGATACATTTGGTCTTGCAGGGACCCCTGGCAGGTGCCATGTTGGTGGAAGGAAGGGCCCAAAGGCACCAAGTAGAGGAGGTTCCCCAAGAGATCCGGCTCCACCAGGAGTTGAATCCTGGGTTTCAGTTAACGGGACCCACCGCGAATCAACATGGGATGCTCCCCAAGCTGACACCCGAAAGGCTCCTTTGGTGAAAATAAAATGGCAGTGGCCAACCCTGTGATACTAAAATAGGCCATCCCCAAGACTACTTTGTCACTTTCAAAGGGGTTCGCTTGGTATCACAACAGGTGGCCCTAAAGCCCAGTTTGATGCAACTGATCCATGGACCCCGGCTTTGCTTAAATAGGGATCCTTACATTCTACACCTGAACATTACCTTGTAAATGGTGGTTTCCCTTGATTTTGGTGGAAAAAGCCGTGTTTCAAATGGGCAAAGTGTATCTTTTAAGGAGCCCTGTTAAAACCTCCGAGCCCCGAGCTGGCGCTGGTGGTGAGGCCGCACTCCACCACATGGCCCACCAGCCATGCGCTGGACCTCCGCTCGTACGGCTTTGCTTGGAGAGAAAATTCAGGAGAAAGGAGATGTTCCGGTTCTGCGCCCTCCCCCCCCACCCCCCCGGCGAAACCATGTCCGAAATCCCCTTGGTTCGGGGCATGACCCTTTAGCGGGACCAGCCCGAAGGGACATGCTGCTCTGGAGTTTGCTTCTGTGGAGTGGCACGCAATCCGACGAACTTTCATGCTGAGAGAACAGACCAGAACCCTGAAATGCTTTTTCTTCTGTTTGCTTCTTTCTTTTGGTGGGCAGGGGGAGGGGGCACTGGGACTGTTGCTGTAACTTTCCTCTCATGGCTTTCTCGGGCAACAGTGGAAAGCTTTTAGTGGGGACTCTCCAGCCAGATTAATCCGAAGCCACATGAAACACACAATGCTCATTGCTGTTGTCCTTCATTTAATCATTATTTGGTCAGGGGGTGGTGGAGGCAGAAGGATTCACTCAACTTCCGTCATACATTTTGTGGGGGCGGGAAGGCTGCACAACTACACAACCTCGTTCATACTTGTTGCTTGCTTGGGGGGGCTTCACTGAGACTCCGCTGTGGATCAAATCAACTGCCAAGCCGGCCGCCGATGTTTCCGATCTGCCACGTCTCCCACGAGTCTGCAAGTCCGGCATTCAAAAACAGTAAAGGCGGGAATAGCAGATGGGGAAAACAACTTGAACCAAGGCTCCCTGGACAATGAGGGCGCCTCTTCTTTGTAGATCCCCCACAGCTTCGGAGATGCTCCCTACCCTTCCTTCCAGAAACCGGAAACCTATGGATTTCTGCGAGTGGGCAAATGGTGGTTCAAAAGGATGGACGAACTCCTGCACCACCTTGAAACCATGATTGAAACCATAGTTTGTTGGCATTTACAGTGGAATCGAACCCTTCCCGGCTATCTTGAGTGACGCATGATTTCGTCCATCCTCAGTGTGCCTTACAACCAGAAAACCACGTCACAGCCAAAACCCGTCTCCGGAGGCCTGCGCTTGGCGTCGTGGCCTGGCGACTCGTTCTGACAACGCGCCGAGCAGTTCCCTGCCGCCGAATGGCTTGGGCAATGGGTGTCAAAAAAAATGGGATTTGACAAATAAAGCAGGACAGCAGCTATGTTGGGGGAGCCTATTTGAGGACCAAAATTGCAAACCTCAAGTCAATGTCGTCATTTGGGTTGTCCGAAATTGTAACCAATCAGAGAGGGCCAGGGACCCTACAAACTCCAAAGACCCAAGGGTTGATCGAGGCTTCAGAAGGTTCAAGGAGCCCAAAGTTATTGGCCGAAGGCGAAGTATGGCCTTTGTGGTTGGGGAAGGGAGAGGTCTTTGGGATGGACAATTTGGACTTCCGGGAGCCACCAGTTCAAGGCAGTTCGCTTTGAACAACGCATCTCACTTCCTGAGATTGGCCTGAGAGAGAGAGAGAGAATTTGTCGAGCCTCTTTTTGAAGCAGAGTTGAAGCTCTCTTTTTTTTGACTTGGCCAAAGGGAATCCGTTCGGAACATCCAGGTAGGCCCTGATCCATCCCCATCCCGGCCGTTCACATAGCAGCGTCCGTGGTCTCCGTGGAACCCGACCTGCAGTCAACTTAAGCTGGTGTCTGAAGCCTCTTCTGTGGGAACGTCCCAAACTGCAGTGCTTCTGGAAATGGAACGAGTCCAGACCTGCCGGAAAAAGAATAGAAAGGAACTGGTTGAAGGACACAATTGGCCCAACAAATGCTCAACTGCCCAAAGAAATGCTGGTTAACCCTTTGGAACCTTGACTAGTGGGCCCAATCAGGGAAACCTCCATTCAAATCCAGTCGATTCCGGTCGACTCGCTTTGGGCAAGTGAGTTGATATCGACTCCTTAAACCCACCCATGTCTTCAGCGGTCCTGGAAGAGAGGAATATGCACTAATAACTGAGGGTGATGTTGAAAACTACCAAACAAAGCAAGAGAAACGCCTAGAGAGTGTTGAACGCCATTCCCAAAACTTTGTTGCTGTAACGACCCCGCGGAGAAAAACAAATGTTGAAAACTCTCGGGTTCAATTCGGAAAACCCACTGGATTTCGAGCAAAAAGTGTTCCAGTCTAAGAACAAGTTACTCAACACAGCTTCAACTCCAAGCTTGAAGTTCTGGGACCTGATAACCACACGGGGAACCACAAGGACCTGAAAGCCACAACTCCCAGTCCCATCGCCCTGAGCCGCAGGCTTCACCTTTGAGCCTCAGCCAAGCCGCAAGCCGCAAGCCAACCCCGCCCATGACAAAGTGAATATATCACTTTCACTCGGTGCCCTCACGTCTCGACAAGGAATTAATCCCATCCAGTCGCCAGGCTCAAACCCAAACCGAGCACCTACCTTGGAAGGTTGAATGTTTTAAGGCCAAACCCCACCCCGAAAAAGAACCTCAGATGGCCAGTGATGGGCAAAAAGGGCATCCTTTTTTGGTTGGTTGACTTTTTTCTGGGAACTCTTCCCCAAAAAAGAGGCAGACAAGGGCACTGGGCAACTGAGATTCCGAAAAAAGAACATCACCAAACAGGACACCGCTGGCCTGCGGCAATCCTCAGATCAAAGGCTGCGGCCACCCCACCATGTCCACGTCCACATTCTGATCCGTCGCCTGCCATTTTTTTTGGACGGCCCCGTTTGAAACAAAGGAAAAAACACATGCAACCCCCAACTCTTAAAGCGTCTTTTTGTGCATCCGGTTGCGAGTTGTTGCCTTGACAGGGCTCCTTTTCCCGTTTTCTGAAGGGTCCATGACAACACGCTGAAGTTTTGGATAAGGACCTAGAGTTACATACCGATTCTTGGCCTTCCAGACGGTCTCAACTTACCTGGCGCCAAATAAAATAAAACAAGTGCAAACATTAAATATCTCTGGAGGGTTCGTTTTAAAGGGTCGCCTTTGTTGTACAGGGTTTTTCACATTGTTGCAGGCTTCGTTTTTATTGGTCGCCTTCGTTTGCAGGGTTCCAACCCATGCTTCATTTTCCCACAAGCAACCGAGAAAAAGGACCCCACTCTTGGCCGCCTTTGGTTGTTTCTACTTCTATGTTTTTCGGCGGAGTTTGCAATGGCTTCAAGACCCGCGAAAGTCGAGCTTGCTGCTGCTGCTTCGTCTGTTTGGGCGGCCAAGTCTGCCCCAAACGCCCAAGAAGCTGGCCGTTCTCGCGCCTGGCCCCTCGGGCCGGAAAGCCCGATCGCAATCTCCCCGAACCTCAGCGGGTCGCAGGGAGAAAGCGAGGGGGGGGGGAAGGCCGTGGTCAGATGAAAACCCAAACACAGATCGATCCAGTCTAGCAAATGTGCCAATTGCATTGGGTTGCGTACTCTTGTTGTGGGGGTGATCTAACTTAGTCCTAGGTTTGTGTGTCCGTTACTCAGCTAGAAAGTGTCCCAAGTACGGCAACCAAGACGCAGTGATTGATGGGTGCTGGATGTTTCTTTGTGAGTGGGGCAAACAGTGAGTCTGTGGAATTGGTCAGAGCAATGTAGACTTTGTCTCAAATTCCCCGAGCCGAAGAACCGGTCGCGAAAAGTGATAAGTCCACAACCGGAAAGCTTCCATGCATGCATCGAAGCCAAACGCCAAGCCTTGAACCCAAAACAAACATGGTCAGGGGCTCAAAGAGAGGACCCCCCCCTCTCCCCCCGCCCCCCCCCCAAAAAAAACAAACAAGCTAAGCAAAAGAACAGCACAACCCCAAAACAATCGGGGTGGTGGAATAACGTCCAAATCCCTACCCCCCGAAAAACGAGCCGCCCACCTCGTCGCCCTCGATCATTGGGACTGATCGGCTGCGAACCCCAAAGGATCGATCTGAGGCTAAGGCGTTCCAACCTCCAGCACCTTCAGCTTGAAGGACTCCCCAGGGGACAGGGGCACCCTGCGGGCGCGCGACTCCCTCCCCCGAAACCAACCCGAGCCAGAGTCGGGGGTATCTTTTGGGGGGGGGTTCAACCAAATGTGGCTGTCCTTTTGTCCTTTTAGCTTCCTTTCAACACCCCCCCCATCCCCCCCTCCAAAAAAGTGGAAACAAAAAAAAGGCGTGTGCCTCCAAAAAAGCAACATGTACCCTCCAGAAACAACAAGAAGGGGACGCCCCAAATTCAGCCCCCAGGGCTGTGGCTTTGCTGGGCATCCCGGCGAGCCCTGGAAGGTGTTCACCAGCCGGCGCCGGCTGGCGTAGGACGCCAGGAAGGAGCCCGAGGCACCTTGGGGTTGGGTGGGGGCGTTGGGAGCTGGGGGGAGTTGGGGGGAGTTGGGGCTGGATCTCCGAACATCTTGGCCCAACTTGCAAAGTTAAGACCATCCAGCGTAGGGCTAATGGCTTGTAATGACTAGTGAATCAAGTGATCAATCAAGCGATCAACTCGGCTTTGAGAAGCTCACCAATGGGGTCCGAAAGGGCGTGCTCCTGAATTTGGGAGGGCAAACACCACTTGTAAAGCGCCTGTCCTGCCCTCATACTCTTGTATAAGTAGGCATATTGCACGCCCACCAAGAAGGAACTCGCCTTAAACTGACCCAAAATGAGTAAGGGACTTCCAAACCAATCCAACGGAGAAATCTCAAATATACAAGCAAATAAACAAACAAAACAATCAATACAAACATCTATACATAAACAAAACTATTGTTCAACAGATATATGTATCGAGGGACCCGTGTGTACCCTTCGCTCCTCCAAACAACCCACCAGAACAATAATGACCATGAGTCGGGCCGCCCTTCCAAACAACTGAACAAAGGCACAACTGGGCTACTTTGGCATTGTTGCTTTCCATACGCATACCAAAGAGGGAATGGAGCAGGTTGGTCCCCCCTTCCCATAGCTCCTCACAAAGGTATCCGCCAAGGGTATCACAGAAAAGTGCCCAAAAACGAGCCTGATCGGCATGGGACACGCGACCGAGCTGCCGTAGATATTCCCATCTTCATCGGCGCGGCAAATTCTGTCGTCCGCTACAGGTTCGTACCTGCGGAGCGCAAGAAACCTACTTTCAGCAATGGTCCTGAGAAACAGTATGAACCTGCATTTATCCGTAATTCCAAAATGTCATGCTGAGCTCGTTATTACCCCAGGTGAGCTCGCTACAAAATAGGCAGATGAATGCCCTTTTGGTGTCCAAGGGATGCACCTGAAGAAACCTGTGTGGAATTGAATGCCACCACTGCACAGCCAGGCACGTTCCGGCCAAATTTCCCGCAATACGGGAGACGCCTATACTTCCCAACCCTCTTTCTCCATTACAACTGGGTTTCAACAGCGTGTGAAGCAAACATTAGGCTTGCCGTGCACGGTCAATTGGGGAGGGACCTGGCGGAATGAACCCCCACAATTGCCTCAAGCACCAGGAGTGGCAGAATGAAACCCTCAGTTTCCCATGTTTAGAGCCTACTCCGGCTGAGAATAAAATCACGGAGCTGCTTGCAAGCAGCTCATCAGGGGCCAACACATCAGTGGCCCCTCCGAACGCATCGGGCGGCACGGAACCAGGTCGTATTCAGCCATTGCCTCAGTGGCAGAGGGCCTGCGCCACGTCCAACTTGAAAGCCACGTCCCGCTCGCTTGGCCGAATGATTTGGCTATGCGATGGAGTTATCTAAGCTAAAAGGCATTTGGTCGACTGGGCGAAGAACGTGACTTGGGGGTTGTAGGGGACCGACACATTCCCGTCGAAAGCCACCCAAAAGAGTGGGCCCCCAAGAGAAACCAGCGCACATTCACAAGCAACCGGCCAAGCGGCAGGTGCCCAGTCCAGGTTGGCAAATGGCACTTGCCAGGCTCAGATGGGAATGGACCGGATGGGCCCAGGACAAATCAATGAAAAGCACATCTCAGGGCCTTGGGAGAAAATGGACCCCAGGTTTTCCAAGGATCAAGTTCCTCTAGTCTTTTCTCCAAAGGGAGCACCCCGCTTTCCAAGCGTCGCCGCCCCCCCCCCCTCCTGTGCAGGGATCTGTTTCTTTAGATAGTTTGCACACAAACCATTCTACAGTTGGCTTCGCCCCACTCTCAAGGTTCCCCAAAACACATGAATCAAGGGCGGTGTTTTCTCACCTCATCTGGGTCACTCTTCCCCCCCAGGGGCAAAAGGTCTTACCTTTTTGTAGGTTTAGTGGACAAGTCATGTCCTTCCAAAATGTCAAAAGGGCTAAGATCCTCGATCTGCATGTGCATGTAAAAGCGCACATGTTGTAGCAAAACATTCTCATGTCTTGGTCAATGTGCAACCCCGACAAGCATACGGCCTAACGCATCTCTACCATTCATGTTAGTGGAAAAACTGAGATGTAAGCTGTTACCTAACGTTGCTCCAAACCAATTGTGGAGTTGCAACATCTTGCTCTTGGCAGCAGCAGAAGCAGCAGCAGCAGCAGCAGCAGCAGCAGCAGCAGCGGCAGCACCCCCCCCCCCACTAAAGAGCCACACATCATTCATAATTTAGCCCGCCGTTTGATAAGGATGTCTGTCATCCCTACCCTCTTGGCTTCCCAAGAATTCTAGTCAAGAACATTTCCAGGCATGGGTGGGCGACGCGTTTGAATACATACCCACCCCCAGCATGAGTTGAGACAGCACACCCGCCTATGTCAGCAGCATTTGGAATGCGTCTCTTTCTAGGGTACCCCTCCCGAAAATAGCTCTTCCTCTTGGTCTCCCTTGGTCCCCCTTTAAAACCAAACAAGGCCCGTGTCCCACCTACCCCCCAAACCCCAAGAACCATGGAAACCCCGCAAGCGAGAGCTCTCTCTCTCGCGCTGAGGCCCAGGCGGAAGGGGACCCAAAAGCATCGAAGCAAAAAACACGTGGCCGGCGGGGTTCTGACGTGGTCCAATCGGGTATGAGACCGGTGACTTTCTTCTTGGACGCTGGTTGGGCAGTTGGGAAAAATGGCCGTGCACAAAAAAAAAAGCATCTATGGCGAACTAGGCAACGGTGAACTTGGTCTAGCTCGTTCTTGCTAGGCTGTGAAGAACATAAATTATGGCCAAAAAAACACCTGCGCACCTGAAGCTTAAATCATAGGTGTGGTGGGCACATTGAAAATTGTCTCCCGAGATACTTGTGCAAAGGAGATCTTGCTCTTATGTTTAGCACCTATTTGGGCTCAAGGGCCCAGCCTACCTAGCAGCAGTCTTTGCCGCCTGAGCGAAATGCCGGCGCCCGCCGGCCCTGCATCTCAAGCGGGGGGCCATGCACCAGCGTGCTCTTTCCTGTCCCACATCTCCCCCGGCGTTTCTTCGAGCATACCCTTCTTGTGCCTTGCTTCTGGAAATCTAAAGGCAACTAGCCACTCTGTTTGGACCATCTTTGACACATCACGACTGCTGGGAAAAAACAATATGATTCCCCTTTCGGCTTTTGGGACGCCACAAGTGGTTCGCGCGGACCAAAAAGTTGTTCAAAGGACTTGGGCATGAACACGGGCAGCCATCAACATACAGCAAGGGAGGAGGATAGCGGCCCCATCTTGAACATGAAGCCCAGGCCTCCAGGCCTCCACTTTCTTCAACTCTGTTTTTCGGAGGGGGGGGGCCTTGAACAAATCAGGCAACCCTGTATCGGTGGCTTGGATTGGCGCTTGGAACTTGGATTTTACAACCCCCACTGCCCCTAAAAGTGAACAGGACAACGTAACCTCAGACGCCCAAAAGGACAAAAGGTCGGCTTTGGGCAACTGGGTGACATGCCAGAAAAAGGTGACGCAACAGCTTGCTCTGGCAGCCCGCTCCATGCCCCTAGCTGCCCAAGGATCCGGATCTGAACAAGCTGGTAGAGGTGATTTTGTCAAACTGACCCAAATGTCTGGGGGTACCTTCCCCATTCCTTCCAGGAATCCTTCTTGCTGGAAAACCTCTGGAAACTTGGGAAAACGGCCTGTTTGAACGTCCACGATCTTGAGAAACTTCTACGAAATGGGGCCTCTTCTTTAGGCTTCCTTGTAAAACAAATGATTCTAACATTGCTGAAATTTAGAATACGCACTCATCTTACATGGTGCCCTTCACCAGTCACATGGTTTCAATTGGGCTGCTGCAAGCCACCGAGAGCAAAAACGTGGTGCGACTTTTGTAGGTTTAATGGAACAGCCGTGTGTCTCCACAGGAACTAACGTCAAAAAAGGGGAACACCTGGTTGCTGTGCTTGTTTCGAAAGGAACCCTGGAAGGAACCAACCACCTAGATAAAGGGCTAAGGGCACTGGGCTGCATGCATGCGGAGCCATTGCAAAAATGTTTGCCGGCCGGCTGGGTTGTAGGCAATAGGTGCGTCCCCAAAAGGCGAACCGGCGACCTGTAAACTTCTGTTCGCGCCAAAAAGCAACACTTGTTTTAAACGAGCTTCGCAGGAGCGAATTGGTGCAATGCTCGCAGCTAAGCCTTCAAGTTAAAAGTTAAAAGCTGCCCTGATCTTTGGGCGGCACCGCCCTGTGTGGCCAATTCCGAATTCTTGCCGGGGCCGTTGTGGCTGGGCAAGTCGTAACGGGAAGATGTCCGACTCCAGCCTGTACAAGCGCCGGCCTGGAGTCTTGGAGCTCTACGGAACGTCCTTTGGCTTGAGGTTTCCACCTCCCCAAGTTCCCGCAATGCATGGGTCATTTCAAGGTTGCGGCCCAAAGCCACCAACTTGGAAACAAACGCCGGCATTAAAACAAAGTTTCACCAGCACGCGCACAAATATGCGCGCAGGCGCGCTTGCGCGAGTGCGCTTCCGCTGGTAACATGTCCTTGTGCTGGTTCCTTGATTTACCGCCCAGGTGTGCGGGCCGGCGCGATGTGTTTCCTTTGCAGGCCCGCCGAAGATGAACAGAACCGAAGCAGGCAAAAAGAAGAAACCTACATGCCAGGAACGGCGAATAAAGTGGTCAGTTGGCCGCGCTTGGTCAAGTGAACCAGCAAGGGCAAAGGCGATTGAACCTGAATCCAGACCCCCAGTGGCCATGGAGAACGAAAAAGAGCGCTCTCCCCTTGTTAAATAGAAATTGCTCCAACCCAAGGTCGAAAAGTGGAGAAGCCTCGTCACTGGGTGTCTTTTTCAAGGACCGGGTCAGCAGCCCAAGCGATGAAACAGCATGACCCTGGACACAGCCACCGGCGTCCACAGCATGTACTTGGCCGAACTTGCGCCGTGCGGGAGGCACCGCCTCACGCAGGACTCACCCCCATTGGCCCACATCTGGGGAATGGTCTGCCTCTGCTCCAGACTTCGACCCTAAAAGATGAAATATGTTCAGAGGCGACCCCAGTTGTGCGGCTATTGTCCCCTGCACGTTTAGACAATCAAAGGGTTAGGAGATAAGGAGGACAGAATCCCGTTTTGTCGCCCCAACCCTAAACCCTTTGGATCGCACATGCGACCAAGCAACGTGCTGCGGTTTTCAGAAGTCACACCCAAAACATGTTGCAAGAGGCTGCCACGATGCACGCCACCATGTTGCAGCAACAATACCCCCCAAACAAAAAGCATGGAGAGCAAACGTTACGGGCCTTGTTGGAGTTTGCAATGAATTGCGGTTGGGGCTGGTCAGGAACATCGCACTTCATACTGTAGTAAACTGGTCAGGGATGACCAGGCCCAAATACTGTAGTAAACTGGTCTGTTTACTAAAAAGGGCCATGGGCCAAACAAGTGCACTTTGTTTTGGCAGTTGACATTAAAGGGAACCAGTGAGAACAATGACCACCGGAGGTCTTTGCAACGAGTTATCCAGAAACTCCGGGGAAAAGTGGCACCCCGGATGAGCAAGCTAGTCCATGAATATGGTGGCATCCCCTTTTAGCGGTGGGGTTCATCACTCTTGAAGGAAACACATCCCTATGAGGTTTATTCATCTGGGGTTGACATTGCAGGCTTCAACCTTTATTTTGGTGTTGAAGAAGCCATGTTTCAATTGGGCAAAATGTATCTTTTAAGGATCCCTGCTCAAACGCTTCCGACCAGTCTGTCCTGAGGTAAAAGAGCCCCAGCCCACCGACCGCCAGGCCCGAGAAGAGCGCGGGGCTGCTGATCCAACCAACAAAGAAAGGCACCACAAGAGAGGCCTTGCGCGCGGCATGGGCTCTGGTTGGCAAAAGCGCAAACTTTTTGTTTAACACTAAAATGGTCTACCCAAAAAGGTTTAAAGTCCAGGGAAGAACCCAGGAAGCAAGACGATCTCTGACCTGTTCCCTTTATTTTGGGCTGGAGATTTGCAAGAAAGCTGCGTCGTGGGCGGGCGCGTGTTGCACAACGGCAGCCTTTTCACGTGGGACTTGGTAACAGTTGCTATAGGGCTAGTCATTGCCCCTACGCACCGATATGCTTCTCAGAACCCTCCGGTCGGAACCCCTTAGGGTTTAAAGCAAAGGTTACGTGTTGGACAAATAGATGGGTTTCCCTGGAAAATTGAATAGAACCCATCTAATTCTAACCAAACTGACCCCCCCCAAAAAAAGCGCAGCTATGTTCTGAAGAAACTCTTCTAGGTTGAGGGTCCTTTGCCTAAGGGGACCCATAAACCGACGGAAACCAACGGAGGCGCACATGGAATCCACACCTTTGGGCGCGAGGACTAGTCTGCCAGGAGGCCGTGTAGATGAGGTGATAGCCCTTGGTGGACAGTATGCCTTTCCTCACCAGGGTCATCAGCAAAGAGGCCAGCCTCAGTGGTCATTCTGCCCCAAGTATGGGGCAAAGGAATGTGTTAGAACAGGGGAAGCTACCCTTCAAAACCAACCAAGAAAGGGTACCCTCAAAAACACACCCATGATTCACCAAGCAGAATGTAATTGAGGAATCTCATTGAGGAATCTCTAGGTCAGGGACCTTCATGCTGGTCTCCGCTCCTTTCACCCCAGCATGGTGAGATCGCACGTGCAGTTAGTCTGCGAAATCTGCCAGGGGCGTCGCAACCTTCTCCCAACTGACTCAAGGTTGGCCCAAAGCAGCAATGCACAAATGGAAGGAGAAGGATGGAGAAGTGGGCCGCTTCAGCTGCTGCATGTCTTTGGACAAAACCCAAACTTTACAAAGCAATGCAGATCGACCAGCTGCGGTTTGGATAACACGGTGGCAAACAGGAGCTTGAAAGGCTGCAGGCAAGAAACCAACTGCAAATCAAGGGTCGGATTTCCCCTTTGCGAGTAGGTCCCAATGCAGCTACCACTGTTAAACTTTGTGGCTAGTGCTCCACTTGCAAAAGGTGAAGTTGTGGGTCGTGGGAAACGCACACGTACCCAAATGGTTCATGGCTAAAGATCAAACCAAATGGCAGACCAGTGAATGCGATGTTCGGATACTTCAACATCCTAAATTTGCACAACATGTTTGGAGAAGACTCCCCCAAACCAATGATAAAGTGTGTCGTATACCCAAAAAGTACAAAAAGCTACAAGCTTGCAAAAAGCCAAAAAGCAACTTGGTCTCACCCAAAAAAAAAATATCGGAAAAGCGATTCCGGGACTGGCCCCATCAACCCCTAGGCAAACGAGTTGCTGAATGGGCAGCATAATGGCGAAGGGCCAAAAGAGGTTGAAGGATGCGAGGCACCCGCCGGTGGCCAAAATCTGGGCCAACATGTAGAAGGCCTTGAACCTGCCATGGTTTTGTTCAACCGTGAGTCACTGTCAAAACCTGGCATGAAACTTCAGAAAGTGGAGAGGAGGTTGACGTTCGATTTTTGAGGCCCTCTATTCATGGTCGAATGGGTCGTACGATTGACGTGACCGTGTGAACGAACAACCAACAACACGTGCTGCCCGTCGGCATGAGTCCTCTGTTCTCTTGTTGAATGGTCGGCTTCCGTTTTGCCTCCCTTGGGGGGGGGGAGAAAACTAAAGCGAGCTAAACCAAACCAAATCAACCCTCAGCCAACAATCCAGCACTTCCATCCCGCCAAAGTAAGAGGGCGTATTTACAGGATTCGGTCCCCTAACATGGAAAAAGGTGTCCTTTGGGCTCACTTGGGTATGATTCTTGATCAGGGACCCTTTGGTGGACATCAAACTTCGGCGGGGAGTCATTTCCACCAACCACTCTACAGGGGGTTCCCCATTGAATTCATAGCCACTTTACGCCAAAAGAGGTCCACTTTTGGGACGCCGCCAAGTCGCCTGCCCTGCGTCCTCTGCGAGCAACCCTCCCAGTAGGGCCTCACGGCTCCGATGGCGCAACAGGGTGACCCTTGGTTTCACGGATCCCGTGGCCCCAAAACTCAGCTCAGCACAACTGGCCACTGATGGCTTTTGGGTGACCCTTGGTATCACGGACCCAAAGCCCAGCTTCCCACAACTGACAACTTGTCACAGCTTACCACTTTGACACTGCTTGAAAGAGAGACGCTCGTGGGATACATGGTACAAATCCTAAGCTCTGAAAGTCTAACTGGCCACTGCATGCGCCAAAACCAGCCAACTGTTTGTGGTTTCCCCGAGAACTCTCACTGAAGTTGAAGGGTCATGACTAAACCGACAACACATGAACACCACAAGGCCAAAAGGTCTAGTCGAAGTAGAACGGGCGAACTGACCATTGATCATCTGGGCGTCTCCGTTTTTTTAGGGGGCCCCCACAAATACCTTCCTCCTTAGGCCTCAAAACAAGACATGGAACTTTCAGTAGGGTCGATTTCCCCCTAGGGTACCACCAAAAAGGCAGCCCCAGGGATGTAAATCATTGGTGCCTCCAAGGGGTTTGCCTGGGTTCATTCCCAACTTCCCTATCGCAGCAAGAAAAACCGAGCAAATGGAACTGTCTCGTTAAACACCAACCGCAGTCCTTCCATTTCCCTTTTCGTCAAATCGGGAGAAGAAAAAAAGAAAAAGACATACAACGGGTACCATAACTCCTCCAATCCCCCCCCAAAAAAAATGAAAAAACAAGGGGGACGACGAGCCGAGCTCCCGTGGAGCCCAGGCCGAGAGCCCCGAGCGATGGAGCCGCGGGGCATGGTGGCCGTGGTGGACTCCGCGGATTTCTCCCGGAGGCGCGCCGTGGCCCAGTCCGCCGCGCGCATGGCGCCGAGGCACAGCGCGGCGCTGCCCAGCACGCAGACGCCCCGCCTTCAGCCGGCGCAGACGGGGGGGGGTTTGGGGGGGAGGGGTGTGTGTGAGCGTGGGTCCTCGTCTTTTTTTGGAGGGGCACCTTTTTGGGCTTTCTTCATGAGACAGGGCCACAAGGGCCGCCAAGTGCCGTGCCGAGGCTCAGGGCCACTGCAAAATGGCTGCCCTGCATTTCCGCGTGCTGCGCGATCCAGAGCAGAGTGAAGCAAAGGAAAGAGCGCAGCGCGAAGCAGATGTTGTGGGCTCGGAACTCTTGCCAAATCATCCTGAGACATTGCGGCCTTCAACCTGGGAATTGCCATTCTCTTACAGAACTTGAAGCTCCGAAAGGCTCCCTGTAAGAGAAATGTGGAGCTGAGGGTATCCTTCCAAGTCACCAGCTAGGTTTTAGGGAGAGTCGCTTTGGCGCCGGCCTCTGAAAGCAAGCAGCTTGCTCGCAAAAGGGCAGAACGTGCGTCCCTGCAAAGGGAACAGAAAGCAAACCCAGCCCTAAAATAATTACCACCTCTTGTGCGCGGAGACCCCCCTTTTCCAGTGGACCTAAGGTGCCCTCACAAGCCTCATAGACGCGGCTCGGTTTGCCTGTCTGTCATCTGGCCGAACTCTTGGGGGCCATGGAGGCCCACCAGCGAATGAAACAAAGACAGCCGTGTGAAACAGACACTCGGCTGCCCCGATATTTGGAACCCGTTGGTTGAAACAAAAACGCCATGAAAATCCGTCTTGTTGTAGAACCTTGCCAACGGAGAAACAAAAATAGAGGGCGCCACTCACATAGGAACATGTCCCCGCAATGCCCCAAAGACTTGAACGGTCCGCTGGCTGAATGGAAAACACATGTTCCGAAAAAGGTCAAGCGCCATGGCTGTCAAGGACCTTCAAGGAGGCCCCCCCCCCCCCCCCGAAAGTTGGTCGCTATCAGCCCTATTGGGATTGAGGGGCCGCTTTGGGGAGCCAGAGGACAAAGGTTGCTTGGACAAAGGGGATGGCGACACTACCAACCATCCGTTGTGTTTTCGTAGGAAATCAAGCATTCCCAACACTATCATTTCGATTCCAACTGAGAACTAGCATGAAGGGTAGCTCGAAGGCACTATTTTTGTTCAGGCACCGGCACTCAACTAAGCTCAGACTCGGCTTCTCAGCCACCCGCTCACGGGGGATGTGGAAGATCAGCGAGGACAAGGACAGCATGGCGTGAGGGATGACCATTAGCAGGGAAAGCCAAGATCCTTCAGGGGTGAAATGGGAAGTCTTGAAAACGCGGTTTCCAGCAAAAACCCATTCGGCCGTGCAACAGGCCCTACTGAGCCTCTTTGGGAATTGCAAGGAGCTAAAGCTTGCGCGCGATCTTGCAGTTGGCCCATTTTGGTGCAATCCTCTTTTCGGGAACTTATGATTTGCGGCCGGCACCAAGTCCTCAAGCAAGTGTCCCAGCCCCTTTTGCCTTGCGCTTCGGCGACTTGAAGAAAACAAAAGCAATTCAGTACAGGGGCTTCAAGCACGCGAACTGAGTCCAACGGCTCGGCAAAAATGCAAAAGTAGATTTGAGCCCAAGTGAAGAAGCCCGCGAACAAACTGGAAAAGGCCCGTCAAAAAGGACCAATAAGCTCGCTTGGATTTCTCACCCAGGACCTGGAAACAAAAGGCTAACCTTTTGGAGTCATGACCAAAAATTGACAAACAAGGAACACCAAGAGGGTAACAGGTTGGAGGACTAAGCTGGGTTGAATGCTGGCAAATCAATCAATCCCAGGTGTGGGCATCCTTAAAAAAAAACGGCGCCCACATGGCCAATTTTCGAAGTGACCCTTGAAGGGAAAAGGGAAGTGGTGGGTTCCGTATCCCATTTGAGACAAGCCTCTATGACCAGGAATTAACATGTATATCCTTCGGACATCATGCAGGGATGTATGCCCACACGGCACTTTCGAGGGAATGCACTGCTGCAATGCAAGGTGCGAAATATGTAAGGGTTCTGTTCCTCTAGTAGATTCAAGAAATTCAAAGCCTCTCCAAACTGGCATGCAGGGTGCACCAAACAAAGACCTTCCTACAAAGTCACCCAAGAATATACCTAGACCCTCCAGCCACCCACAAAAATTGTTTATTGCAAAAAAAAACTGGGATGATATCCGGTGCAATATTTGGAGGAGGCCTTTACAGGGGCCTTTTGATTGTCCTGTGAATCCGCCGGTGGGGTTCCCTGCGAAGACCCGGATGTGTCGGTACAGGTAATGGAGCAGGACGTACACGCCAAGCACCTTGGAAAGCCCACGTGGGGTCGAGCAGGTCAATCGCCAAAAGGTGCATCACACGTTCTAGTCTTCGTGGAAAAACAAAAAGGCTTACCCCAAAAACAACCCTGGGTTAAAAGCACACCAAACAGGAGCCAAGCAAAGAATGGAGAGCACTTTGATGTCTGAACTTAGTGCGTTGGTCCCTTGCCAAAAAAATGCTCAACTTTGAATAGGACACGTCATACATCCATCTAACGTTTAAACATTTCAAGGCCTAAGCGTGTAGCTGGGAACCACCGAGTGGAACAAGCAAGAGGGGAAATTGCGCGAGTCCCAGAACTACTTAGGAACCCAACCGCAGGGATGTCCTGAGGCCGTAGTCAGCGAGGCTCGCTTTCTTCTCTGGGGTGTCCCCTTAGCGTTGGACAAAAATTCCAGAATGCTTTTTGTTGACCCAAAGTTGGGAAAGGTCAATACTTTTTTTGGGGTGGGGGCCACTCACGTTGGACACGACCCATTTGGATTTCCCACGTCAACATCACGGCTGATTCAATCCTGAAAACCTTGCTACGCCTAAGGCTATGCGTCGGCAGGTGCGCAGCAGTGTCTGGTTGCTACACGCTCCAGCAAGGGGAGACCATAAGAACCCAAAACCAATCCCTGACGCACAAGATCACAAGCCAAATCCCCAAACCGCAAAAACCTGAAACCTAAATAGACAGATCCGCAAACCAAATCCCGATACCACCCGACGCCAAATCAATTCATGGCGCGGCGCCATATACTCACACCAAATCCCAAACCCAAGTCCGAAACCCCCAGACCACTAACGCAAAACACAAGAAAGCCAACTGCTATGTTCCAAGCTCCACATCAAATCATAACACCATATGATCAACCGCCTAAACCACATCACAAGAAGAAACAAAAACTCCCCCAACCACTGAATCACCAGCTGACGCTTACCTGATACGCCTCACACGGGCAACGGTAGCCCGACGTCCCTATCTCGCGCGCGCGCGCGCGAGCCTTGTGGATCTGGAAGCGGTCCTCTCTGGTAAAAAGTTTGCCCGCCCAGGAGCTGCCCTTCCTCAGACCGTTTGCTTCTAGGTCCGTACCCGATTTGAGAGCTTAGAATAAGTTGGTACCCGATTTCTTTTCTGTAGTCTATTTTACGGGAACCCTCCCCCGGAAAAGGTGGTAAAAGGGCACTACTGAGGGACCTCGGTTTGGTAATGTAAGTGAAGAAAGCCCAAACCGCATCCCCATTTAACTGGGCTGCCCGATTTCAGATGCCCCGCTAAAAGTGAGAGTAACTTTTAGTGGGTTAAACACGGAAACTGCCACTAAACACCAAAAGGCTAAAAAGTGAAGGAACCGGATGGCTGGGAGCCGCCAAGATTTGATCTCGGAGAGCATAATGGTCAATCAAGGTGAAAGCCCCCAAAATCGCTGGAAAGGAATCGCAGCTGCTCGTTGACTCCATTGGAAAACGAATGGCTCCTTGCACGCGCCCTTGCACGTGCCCAACTGAGGGAATTCTGGTGAAACTGGCAAATCTCAGCATGATATGTCGGCAGCGCACGCAAGCCCAGAATCACAAAATAGGTTTATAACCCGTCACCTCATTTGCAACCGGTTGAGGGAAATATGGATTGACAACGTCCCATCACTTTGAACAAGGCTCGAAGGAGAGGTGTGAACACCCTGAAATATTGCCACCGAAAAATAATCGGGGACGATCCCCCAAACTCATGCGAACTTAGGCCGCAAAACGGATTGGGAGACTGTAGTATGCTGCAAATCCGAATTTTGGCCGCTGTTCGAATATGGTTTGGCGTATGTTCGCCGTAAAACAAAGGAAGCAGACAACCACAGAAAAGGACTGAATCCAAGCTTCAAGTTGACCGCGTGCCGGTTCGCAGACTCCAGCTCGCCCACGCGAAACCTCTCCAGCAATTTGTGGGCTCCCTGACTGTGCTTCGTAGCTGCGAAGGCTTCAGTCGCATCCTGGCCTCATGTGAATGTTCGAGGGCATGGATCCACAGAATCCTGCACAAGGTTTCAGATACTTGGATTCACGTACCAGGTTGCCAAGTGGTGCAGAAGTTTGTCATCCGCAGTATTGCCAGCAAAAAACAATCAAGACAAAACCAAGCAACTTTACAGGTTCTTTGTCCATCATGCGAACCAAGGGCAGATATGTGAAACCGATACCCTTGTCAAACTGTCCCTGGCTCATGTGTTGGAACCCCTGTTTCGGATTTATTTGAAAGAAATCCAAACGGTGTGCTGTTGCACATTGTTGTAGCAATTCTGACAGAAAATAGCAGGGAAGCTAATCATCTTGGTAGCCCGTCTTTTACAAGACACGCCCGCAACATAGTTGATCACGACGCAGGCAGGATTCAAACACACCAGCGCGGTGGTGTGGATAATTGCCACGCGACGCTCAGGCACTACTAGCCTATGAAAAACATAAGCCACGCAGATATTGCTATCACTAAGTTGTCACTTGCAGTATCACTTACCAAGATTTCGCGCACCTGTCGCACAGGGGTCCCTATATTTCCCCATAGTATCTTGCCCCCACTTGAAATTTGATGATGTCAAAAACGGCCAAAGCAAACAAATATGGAGCCCCCTGTCACCCAAGAGCAAACAACAAAACAACATAAAACAACTTCAAAAATCAAATGCCTGTCAGCTATTCCAACCTACTTTGCACCAGCAAGCCGCTGGCGCAGGCCTCTAGCCATGAAAAGGCCCCACGCTTGGCACCCCCCTTCGAGAAAGACGATCGGAGTTTCAATCTGCTGCCAAACTTCTTAACCCCTGGCGTAGAAGCGAGCAACTTTGATGTCTTTGCACAACCAGGGCCAATGAACAGAAACATATAGAAACATAAGCAGGGATCCTTACATTATACACCTGAACATTGCCTTGTAAATGGGTTTCCCTTCATTTTTGTGAAAAACAAATGTTTCAAATGGGCAACATGTTATTTTTTGAGGAGCCCTGTACAAGAACATGCGAACCGTGAAATGATCTCCCACCAGGAGGCCATAGAAGTACTTGGACAAGACCTTGTGGCCACCGGGGTGTTTTTGCAGATAGCCCGCCACATCATAGACGCCCCCGCCGATGACGATCCAGGTCTTTTGGCTGGCCACGTGATCCCGTGAGAGCACCTGAGAAGGGGTCACGCAAAAGCCACGGTCAAAAAAAATGGCAAACAACTGGCTGGTGCATGGAAAGCAGCCCGGTTGCTCGTTTGCTGGCCGTTCCGTGCGTAGCCCCTGCTCATTGCACGCGCATCAGTGAGCTGGCACGTACTTGTGCAGGAAGGGGCATAAGAAGCAGGGCCACACATTGAGATCAGAGCACAGGCCCGCATGCTCTTGGTTGATGTCTCAAGCAACAGGAGGCTGGCAACATGAGGATCGCTTTGGTCTTGGGATGCATACAACAAATGCAAACGCTTCCAGCGTGCCTTGGGTCCGTTCAAAAAATGAAGAGTTTGTCGCGGCCCTCTCTGAACAAAAAGCGCAAGTCCTAAGCGCATTCAAAACAACAAACAACAAAAGACGTTTCACGGTTTCTTGGCGGATATCCAGCAAGAATCTTTTGGACGCCTTGTTGGGCTCCTTCCGAACAATTGTCCTTTCGAAAACTGTTTCAGCGACTTCCTTGGCATTTTCAATGACCAACAACATGTCTCTGGTTTTACGCGCTCTTCCGCGATGCTCTGCGCAACCGGGGGTGGCGGTTTGCTGAGCTCGGCGCGGGTTCCTGGGCAATCTCCTCGTAGCCCCCACGTGCTTTCAGACCTCCAAGCGCACACAGCTCCTATATGATATGTGGGGGCCTCCTTTTGGATGGCTGGACAAGGAAAAACATTGTTTGGACGTCGAACAGTTTTTGAACAGCCCGGCCAACCATTCGGAGCCCTAGGCATTCAAACGCAATGGACAAACGGGTGACCCACCATGCCTGGACTAATTCGAGCCGGAGGCTGGCTTGGAATCACGAAGTTTGCGCACAACCTCAGTCGCTTGGCAATCCGTAAGATGTTTTTTTCGTCCCCTACACTCACTGGTCGATGCCGATCCAAACGTTTGACTGCAAGTGTTGCAGCCGGCTGTCTCACTGTGTCCTGCACCACCTGATCCAAATGGCTAGAATGCAAACAACACCACTACAAGCAACAAAAGCAAATGCTGAACATTGTCCAAGCGACGGAGCAAAAATCAGGCACTTCAAATACGCGGCACGGCGCATCGCCGAAGCTGCTGTGGCTGACACTCGCGCAAGGGGCAAACTCGAGCCGTTTCAAACTTCGGCAAATCATGCGTCACACGCTTCCGGCAGCCGGTTGCATGAGTGATGTGAACTTGGTTGCGAAACTTCGTGTGCCATCGCGTGACAAGAACGCGCAAGCCGGCAAGCGGCTGCATTGCTGCAGTGGGTGGAGTGAGTGGATGGGGCGGAGCGGTTTATATATATTTATATACGTGAATCAGTCAACCCACCCGCCCGCCCGCCCACGAGTCAGCCCACTGCAGGATGCAGGAGGGCGTCTTGGTGTGTCTTTGTCCGCGCGGCCACCACGCCCCGCGACCACAGCCTTCTAAGCGTCTTCCCCCACTTCACATGGATGCGTGCGGATGCGCCTGCAAGATGTCGAAGCTGGCACGCGCGCAGCCCAAAAAGCTGTAAATACACGAGCAACTTCTCTCCTGCCAAGAGCGCTGCCTGTGTCACTGCGCCATTTGCTGGGCAAGAATGCGGCTACCTAGCCGGCGCAGCACGTCGCCCATGATGAGACCACGCACGCGCCGCTTCGCTTTTGCAACGCGCAGCCCAAACCTTTGAGGCAACTTAGCGGGATGAGTGAGTGAGTGAGTGAGTGAGTGAGTGAGTGAGTGAGTGAGTGAGTGAGTGAGTGAGTGAGTGAGTGAGTGAGTGAGTGAGTGAGTTAGTGAGTGAGTGAGTGAGTGAGTGAGTGAGTGAGTGAGTGAAGTGAGTGAAGTGAGTGAAGTGAGTGAAGTGAGTGAAGTGAGTGAAGTGAGTGAAGTGAGTGAAGTGAGTGAAGTGAGTGAAGTGAGTGAAGTGAGTGAAGTGAGTGAAGTGAGTGAAGTGAGTGAAGTGAGTGAGTGAGTGAAGCGAGTGAAGCGAGTGAAGCGAGTGAAGCGAGTGAAGCGAGTGAAGCGAGTGAAGCGAGTGAAGCGAGTGAAGCGAGTGAAGCAGTGAAGCGAGTGAAGCGAGTGAAGCGAGTGAAGCGAGTGAAGTCGAGTGAAGCGAGTGAAGCGAGTGAAGCGAGTGAAGCGAGTGAAGTGAGTGAAGTGAGTGAAGTGAGTGAAGTGAGTGAAGTGAGTGAAGTGAGTGAAGTGAGTGAAGTGCGTGAAGTGAGTGAAGTGAGTGAAGTGAGTGAAGTGAGTGAAGTGAGTGAAGTGAGTGAAGTGAGTGAAGTGAGTGAAGTGAGTGAAGTGAGTGAAGTGAGTGAAGTGAGAGAAGTGAGTGAAGTGAGTGAAGTGAGAGAAGTGAGTGAAGTGAGTGAAGTGAGTGAAGTGAGTGAGTGAGTGAGTGAGAGAAGTGAGTGAAGTGAGTGAAGTGAGTGAAGTGAGTGAAGTGAGTGAAGTGAAGTGAGTGAAGTGAGTGAGTGAGTGAGTGAGTGAGTGAGTGTGAGTGTGAGTGGAGTGGAGTGGCAGTGGAGTGTGTGGAGTGGAAGTAGTGGAGTGGAGTGGAGTGGAGTGGAGTGGAAGTGGAGTGGAGTGGAGTGAGTGGAGTGAGTGAGTGAGTGAGTGAGTGAGTGAGTGAGTGAGTGAGTGAGTGAGTGAGTGAGTGAGTGGTGAGTGAGTGAGTGAGTGAGTGTGTGAGAGAGTGAGTGAGGAGTGAGAGTGAGAGTGAGAGTGAGAGTGAGAGTGAGAGTGAGAGTGAGAGTGAGAGTGAGGTGAGAGTGAGAGTGAGAGTGAGAGTGAGTGTGCGGTGTGGTGGGTGAGTGAGTGAGTGGAGTGAGTGGAGTGGAGTGGAGTGGAGTGGAGGAGTGGAGTGAGTGGAGTGGAGTGGAGTGGAGTGGAGTGGAGTGGAGTGGAGTGGAGTGGAGTGGAGTGGAGTGGAGTGGAGTGGAGTGGAGTGGAGTGGAGTGGAGTGGAGTGGAGTGGAGTGGAGTGGAGTGGAGTGGAGTGGAGTGGAGTGGAGTGGAGTGGAGTGGAGTGGAGTGGAGTGGAGTGGAGTGGAGTGGAGTGGAGTGGAGTGGAGTGGAGTGGAGTGGAGTGGAGTGGAGTGGAGTGGAGTGGAGTGGAGTGGAGTGGAGTGGAGTGGAGTGGAGTGGAGTGGAGTGGAGTGGAGTGGAGTGGAGTGGAGTGGAGTGGAGTGGAGTGGAGTGGAGTGGAGTGGAGTGGAGTGGAGTGGAGTGGAGTGGAGTGGAGTGGAGTGGAGGGAGTGAGGGAGTGAGGGAGTGAGGGAGTGAGGGAGTGAGGGAGTGAGGGAGTGAGGGAGTGAGGGAGGGAGTGTGAGTGAGTGAGTGAGTGAGTGCGTGCGTGCGTGCGTGAGGGAGGGAGTGAGTGAGTGAGTGAAGAGTGAGTGCGAGGCAGTTTGAGCAAGTGTGAGTGCGTGTGAGAGTGAGTAGGTGTGAGTGAGTATGAGTGGGTGTGAGTGTAAGTGAGTGTGTGAGTGTGAGTGAGTGTGAGTGAGAGTGAGTGCGCCGGTTCCACACAACCTGCTTGCCATTGTGACCTCACGCCTTCCGTGCCCCGTACCTGCATCGCCGCATTTGCCTATCGGACTTCCCTTTGGTTCCGTTTCACGCCCCCCTGGCAGAGTTGCAGGACCCTGCGTGGAGACCTGACCCTCCGTACGAATCCATCGGTCCTGTGGTTTCCCAGCCTGCGTCCCCTGTCGTGCTCACAGCTTCCGCAGTGCTTGGCAACTTGCAGCCCCGGTGCTGCCGGCCCCACTAATTACACTCGGAGTTCTGCCGCCTGGCGTTGGATGACGCAGCAGCTAGTTCCTCGTTTGTCCGCAAGGCTTGCACCCTGGCCCAAGCACGGGTGGTTGCCCATCAAGTTTGGGGGATCGGTGGGTGACTTCTTGCGCCATTTGGCGGCCCGCTCCTTGGCACAGAGCTTTGCAACACAGTTCCTGGGCGCGTGCCAGCCTTTCCAATTTGCCTTGCCCACCGGTGCCAGCACAGAGGCCACTGCCCACGCCCTTCTTGTTGCCAGTTTTGACCTACTGTCTCTGACGCTGCGTCTGCATTGGCACGCAAAGCGTTCCCTGTTCGCGCGCGAGCGTTTTCACTGTTGGCGCACTAGGGTGTTCCTCGTTGGTGCATAAGCATGCTCACCGTCCGCACATGAAAGTGTTCACTGTTGGCGCATAAGCATGTCCACTGTCGGCGCACAAGGGCGTCCGTTGCACAAGTATGTTTACTGTCAGCGCGCAATAAGCATGTGTGGCCACACATGCAAACACAAAGGTACGACAGTCAGTTTATGGAAACATGAAAAAAAAGGCGATGCAGCTTGCTTGCATGAAATGTGACATGGTTGTGTGTTTATTTGGATTGACCAGCAGCCATTGCAGCTACACACAGCAACTGTATAGGTCAGTCTCATGCCAGGCCAAAGGGCCAGAACTGAGTCATGGTGACCGCAACACTGTGGTATGTCCAGACCGGGTCCAATGGCTGGGAAACATGGATCCTTGTATGATTGCACTTATCAATCCCAAAAGTAATTTGCACCTTACACATTTAAGTGTGGTGTGTGTGTGCGTGTGTGTGTGTATATCCTAGAAAGCATTGGCCTTACCGAGGAAGCCGTTGTGGCGCCACATCATCGAGGTGAACCAATGCCCTTGATTGCCCGCTGGATTTTCACAATGTCACCAGCAACTGAATCAACGGCAATGATCTTGCCTTGGCAATACGTCGTACGTAGCAAAGAAAAGTCAGGACCCTATGGCAAATGTAAGGGTATTAAACCTTCAGCTCTTGTCCGCAAGAGCTGGCATCTATACTCAAGTGGCTTTGTAATCGATTGAATCCCAGGGCGGGGTGGGTCTCGGATTTGCTTGTTCTGGAGTAATTTTCTTTACAAGCCCAGCTGTATACTTTCTGTTTGTATCTCCTACAGTCCAGGCTACTGAGCCCCACGAGACCGCATCATATTCCACAATTTGCTTGTATTCAAGGACCTCGGCCGCAGATGGGCAGTTGGGGACTGAGGAAAGGCCCGGCCATTGCGCAAGCCAGCGTTGGAAGGATTCACCGTATTTTCGGGGCCCGGAGGATGGCATTCCACTCTGTCTCAAACTGCGCCCGCAGGGGCTCATTTGATAGTGTCTCAAGCTTTTGAATTATCCTAAAAAGAGACCCAAGTCTACGGGCTTGGCGCACTTTCTGGACATGCTTGATGTCACTACAATCACAATCCCCGGCGGGGCGGTTTACTTATTGGCAGCTGAACCGCTTTTCTGGTGGTGCATCTGCCTCCTGAGGCATCTGGAACGCCGTCCTGAGTTCAACGTAGCAGGTTTCAAGCCTGGACGGATCAACCCCAGTTTCGGCAAAATTCTTTGGAAGCCGCCATCTCCTCCGCGTGAATTGAACATGCGGTAAGGTAAGTTTGATTTGCATAGGAGAGTGGATATCAAACTTATTGTTCGAGAGGACTTTGATATCGGTAGTCAAAGCGGCTAGATTGCAGTCACACAGAAGGGTGTCATTGCGAGTCTTACCTTTACACGTAGTGCCGTTCATAGAGCTGATTCATCTCAACGAAACCTAGATTATTCAAGGTGGCCCAGCTTGGGAGCGAGCCCACTTCGTGGTTAAAATCGCCGGCAATGATTGTCGGTGTAGCATTATGAGCAAGTCGTTCAGTTACCCGTTGCAGGAATTCACCGGCCATCTGCGGGCCTAACGCGGGCCTAACGCGGGCCTAATGCGGGCCGAATGCAGGCCTAAAGCGGGCCTAATGTGGGCCTCACGCGGGCCATCGCCGGGCCACTGCTGTGCGTCGAACGCGCTCCAAACGCGTTTTTTTGGCTCCGGAACACGTATCGCAAGTACGATACCAGCTCCGGAATTCCGGAGCAACCAAAACGTCTGTCAAATGTTTCTCTGTTAGCAGTACTGCGAGAACGGTATCGCCGACAGACTGGATTCGCACCCAAGCATGTGTCAGACACGTCCCCTTCGTCAATCCTGCGCTGGCAACAGGATTGCCCCCGTCAATCCTGCGCTGGCAACAGGATTGCCCCCGCCAATCCTGCGCTGGCAACAGGATTGCCCCGATGCAGCACCAGCAGCTCGGGCTTGGAACAGCTCAGGCTC